GCCTCCTCCTCCTCCTCCTCCTCCTCCTCCTCCTCCTCCTCCTCCTCCCCCTGTTCCTCGACGGGCTCAGCGTGTGGCTCCGCGTCTCTGGCCCACCACGCCTGGGCGCGGGACGCTGTGCAGATCCCAGGCTTCCCAGGCGTCCGCCTCCCGGGCTGCCCCCGGCCCTCGCGCCATGCAGAGCGGAGCGACGGAGCGTGTCGCCGGGGCCGCCGCCGCGTCACGCCCAGGAACAGAAAGTCCCTGGGCGTGCCCCGCAGGAAGCGGGGCTCAGACAGCGGGGTCGGCGCCGAAAGGGGTCCGCCAACCCCCTCTGGTTGACCTGGGTGTAGGAGCCTCCTCCTCTTCCTCCTCCTCTTCTCCTCCTCTTCTCCTCCTCCTCCTCCTCCTGCTCTTCTCCTCCTCCTCCTCCACTTTGTTGCGCCCTCCGCTGACCTGGGTTTGGGAGCTACGAAACGGCCCGTCAAGCTTCGCGGCGTGGCCCTGGCCGACCCAGGTGTGCGCTGACCAGGGTTAGTGCGTCGCGTCCCCGAATGGGGAAGATAGTGGGCTTGTTTTCCACCGCCACCACGATAAGTAAGTGGGGAAGGTCCTTCTCCTCTTCTTCCTCCTCCTAATCCTCCACCTCCTTCCCCCCTCCAACTTATGGTGGTGGTGGTGGTGGTGGTGGAAAACAGGCCCATCAGCAGACGTGACCGTGGCGACGAGGAACCTCCAGGAGCCCAGAGAATGACGAAAAATGCCGCGGACGGAATCTAGAAAATTACGTGACAAAAATTCTTCACGCTTCGCGTATCCCCACCAGCCCATCTCAAAACAGCAACTCTTGCGAAGCATGCCGACAGTCGTGTTTTTCAGGCGTGTTTCCGCCTGCCCCCGCATATCTCCGGGCCTCTCGTCCTGGTGTGAGTCGTTCGGGCCCTTCTTCCTGGTGTGAGTCGTTCGGGCTCTTCGTCGTGGTTTGAGTCGTTCGGGCTCTTCGTCCTGGCGTGAGTCGTTCGGGCTTCTCGTGGTGTGAGTTGTTCGGGCCCTTCGTCCTGGTGTGAGTCGTTCGGGCTCCTCCTCCTGGTGTGAGTCGTTCGGGCTCCTCGTGGTGTGAGTCGTTCGGGGCCCTCGTCCTGGTGTGAGTCGTTCGGGCTCCTCGTGGTGTGAGTCGTTCGGGCGCCTCGTCCTGGTGTGAGTCGTTCGGGCCCCTCCTCCTGGTGGTGTGAGTCGTTGGGGCTCTTCGTGGTGTGAGTCGTTCGGGCCCCTCGTCCTAGTGTGAGTCGTTCGGGCTCCTCGTGGGGCCTCTTGGGGGCCTCTTGGAGCCTCGTGGGGCCTCTTGGGGGCTCTTGGGGGCCTCTTGGGGGCCTCTTGGGGGCCTCTTGGGGCCTCGTGGGGCCTCTTGGGGGCCTCTTGGGGGCCTCTTGGGGGCCTCTTGGGGCCGCTTGGGGGCCTCTGGGGGGCCTCTTGGAGGCCTCTTGGGAGCCTCCTGGGGGCCTCTTGGGGCCATCTTGGTGCCTCTTGCGACCTCCTCAGAAGCGCAAATGAGAGCTGCTCCCTGAGAAGGACAAAATGAGCCCAAAACCGTCGTAAAATCAATGATTTCGCTATGAAGGACGAGGAGCGCGGCCCCCTCAGGACGCCAAAATGGGGCCAAAACCGTAGTAAAATCAATGATTTTAGCTTCAAAGAAGACCAGAGGGGCCAAACTCCGTCCCCCCGTCGGGGCCAGAATCCTCGTGAGGGTCGTCGTTTTTTGACCCTCCCAGGAGTCGAAAAAGACCCCCCTGGCGACCCGCGGGGGCCCCTCTCCAGGCCCAGGGGGAGGGGGTAGGGGGAGGGGTAAACCCCTCCCCGAAGGGGAAGAAGGGGGGTTGAGGACAGAGCGGGCTCTCTAAACCACTCACGCCCAAAGGGCTGGTGGGATTTCAGATGCCCGCGCGGATATCATCGGATCGGCATTGGGCCCTTCTCCCTGGCGTGCGGAGCCCGCCAGGGGCGGCGCCGGCGCCGCCAGGGAGGTGGATCGCCGATCCGAGGAATCCAAAGATGTCAGACGACCCGATTTTGTCGCTCACGACGGACCGTTTTTGGGCGGTTTCGGTCTGCGGGGGCCCTCGCCGGGCCCTGGCGCCGTCAGAAAACAGCTCGGGATGCAGAACCGGCCCTGGGCAGAGAGTCGGGACTTCCTGGGATCCTGCACCGGACCAGTTCAGACATCGGATGTCCAGGAAGGGGTCCTGACGGAAACGGGTCCTGAGACTTTTTCCGCCGCTTTCGGGCCCCCGTGGCCCTCCCAGAAGCGCCCTGGGGCCCTGCTCTGGAACAGCTCAGGACTGAGAGCTGGCCCAGGGTCCAGGACCAGTTATCCCTCGGGAGCTCCATGCCAAGTCAGACCCAAGAGAGAAAGACACATACTGGAATTACCCATGCAATTCCCTCGGTTTCGACTTGTTGGGCCTCCTGCAAGGCTTCGTTGCCGCGGTTATTCGAGTGCAAGTTAGCTTGCGTGGTCCGCTTGTTACGAACGCGATCGTGCTACACATCGCCAGAGGAGGAACACGTGTGTGTGTGTGTGTGTGCGTGTGTGTGTGTGTGTGTGTGTGTGTGTGTGTCGCGCGCGCGCGCGCGCGTGTGTGTGTGTGTGTGTGTGTGTGTGTGTGTGTGTGTGTGTGTGTGTGTGTCTGTGTGTGTGTGTGTGTGTGTGCGTGCGTGCGTGCGTGCGTGCGTGCGTGCGTGCGTGCGGGCGGGCGGGCGGGCGGGCGGGCGTGCGTGCGTGCGTGCGTGCGTGCGTGCGTGCGTGCGTGCGGCGGCCGGCGTGCGTGCGTGCGTGCGTGCGTGCGTGCGTGTGTGTGTGTGTGTGTTCATGTGTGTGTGTGTGTTGTGTGTGTGTGTGTGTGTTTGTGTGTGTGTGTGTGTGTGCGTGAATCTGTGTGTGTGTGGGCGTGTGTGTGTGTGAGTATGTGTGTGTGTGTGAATGTGTTTGTGTGTGTGCGTGTGTGCATGTGTGTGTGTGTTCCACTGCGCTGCTCGGGTGGCACCGCCTTCTTGATCTTAGCACTTCTAGTACTTTTGGATCCACTGGGTGCGTCCACCTGCGCGTTGTGGGAAACTGTGTGTGTGCCTCCCCCCTCGAAGGAGGAGGCGGAGAAGGGAGCGAGGAGGAGGGAGGTAGGAGAAGGGAGGAGGGGAACTGGGAGCCTCTGTCTTGTCATCGCCCCTTTCCTCTTCCTCGCCTCTGCGACTCTCCTGTCTCCTTCCCTTCCCATTAGAGCCGCCAGCGATCCGGTTCGATCCGCCAGCTGGGCTCGCGATTCCGATTCGCTTCGATTCGCTGGCGCCGGCCAGGGCCAGCCAGGGCGGGGACCGGCGCGGCGATACGATCCGTTCCCGACCCAATCCGGTCTCGCGGTTCGATGATGCCTGGCCACAGCAGCGAGGCCGCAGTGCCGCGGGGTACCAGAGCCGGGGGACGGCATCTGTGCATCAGCACCATGCCTCCCCCTCCCCATGCCCCCTCTCTCCTCTTCCTCCTCCTCCCTCCTCCTCCGCCTCCTCATCCTCCTCCTCTCCTCCTCCTCCTCCTCCTCCTCCTCCTCCTCCTCCTCCTTCTCCTCCTCTCCTCCCCTCCTCCTCCTCCTCCTCCTCTCTCCTCCTCCTCCTCCTCCTCCTCTCTCCTCCCCCCTACCTCCTCCTCCTCCTTTCCTCCTCCTCCTCCTTCTCCTCCTCCTCCTCCTCGTTGCCACCCTGGGCCCTAACTGCGATAGGGTGCACGCCCTCCGGGCCTCGGCCAGGAGGGCGTCTGCAGACCGTGCTGGGGCCCGGGTGCCCGGGGATGGCCCTGGGCGGGGACGTCTGCGCACGAGGGCCGCCGGCATCCAGGCCTCCAGGAGGAGGAGGAGGAGGAGGAGGAGGAGGAGGAGGAGGAGGAGGAGGAGGAGGAGGAGGAGGAGGGTCTGAGCAGATGTGTGGTCGGAGGATCGCGCCTCGGCGCTGCGGCTCGATGTGGTGCCCGATGCTCTCCACGCCGACGGCGCCGATGCATCGCCGAGATCGTCGAGACATCGCCGATGCGTCGGTAATGCATCGTACGATGCGGTGCGATCCTCCGACCCCATCACCGCATGCCCCGGATGATAAGCCGTCCCCTCCCGCCCACCCCCGAGAGCTGCTTCTCTCTGGCCGAGACAGAGTGGGTCGGCGGAGAGGGGCGGCCAGGCCGAACTTTAGTTTCCCCCAGGTCATTTCGGGGGCGGATGGACCTCCTACCCTGACACGTCGATGAGTGAATTGGCCGTTTGTGGTTCGCGAGAGGGCGTCGCGGCCGTTCTTTTTGCGGGCCAGGCCCGTCGGTTTCGGTCCCTGGCCGTTTTCACCAAGGGGAGGCTTCCTAAAGGGAGGCTTGTCCACCGCCGATTCTTTACTCCGACCCCACGTGCCGCGGGGCGTCAGAGCCGGCAGGTGGCTCCAGCGCCGGCCCCCGCCTCCTGCCGCGGGCGCGTGCGCGGGGAGGCGCGGGGCGGGCTCGGCCTTGCGCGCGCGCGGCGGGCGCCCGCGGAGATGGCCCAGGCGGGCGGGGAGAGCGCCGAGGACCGGCGGGTCGAGCGGCGCTTGGTGCCCCGGCGGGGGTGCGGGGTGGCCTAGCTCTGCTGCTGCTCCTCCTCCTCCTCCTCCTTACCATATTAGTCAGCATCAAACTCCTCCTCCTCCTGCTCCTCCTTTTCTTCCTCCTCCTCCTCCTCCTCATTCTGGCCAGCAGAAAGGGGGGAAAGAGGCTCGAGGTGCTGGGCTCGACAAGGTTTTCTGCCCCTCTCGGCCTCTGGGGGTCCATTCTCGGGTCCTGGGACCGCCAGAAACGGATCCAGGGAGAGCGCCGAGGACCAGCATGGCAAGTGGACCTGCAGCACCAGGCTTTCGAGGGTCAGAGGAGGTCAGGAGGGAAAAAGACACAGACACAATTAATCGTCGATCCCCCGGAAAATATGCGAAAATATGGGAAGTGGGGGGAAAGGCAGAACCCCCCAAAACATAAGAAAATATGGAGAATCCTGTTATTTGTGTCTATTTATTTGCGTGTTCCAAGGCCGCTTCAGGAGGGCCCGTTGAGACAGCGGCAGTTGGAGACGGTATTTGTCCTGAGGCGCGTAACGATCGCTGCCCCCCCCCCCCCGGCGGGAATGGTACCGAACGTAGGAGGGGGGGTGGGGCCTGGAGTCCCCGTCCCACATGCTGGTGCTCGCGCGCATGCCGTGGCGATCGCAGCGCACTCCCCCCCCGCCCCCCCCCCGCCGCCCTGGGACCCTGGGTAACGACCGCTGTCGGAAGCAATGAAGCACAGTCTTCGCTTCATGGGCCTCGGGGGGGGGCCCCCGTCGCCGCCGCGGCTGCACGCAGCTCGGGGAGCCTGTGCGTCTGGACCCCAGGAGGGGGTCCAGGGAGCGACCTTGAGCTGCGGTCGTCTCAGTGTCCTCCTCCTCCTCCTCCTCCTCCTCCTCCTCCTCCTCCTCCTCCTCCTCCTCCTCCTCCTCCCCTCTCCCAGCGGGCCATGGTGTCTCAGCCCCACCACCCCCGCCTTCAGCTGCTGCGCCGTCCTGCGCTCCGCAGGATCTCTCGACGCGACTATTTAGGCCCAGCATGCGCAGACGCCCGCAGGCGTGACTCTGTGGACCTTGTGGCAGCCCCTTGCGTTCGGTGACTCCCGGCTGGAGGCCTGAACTGCAAGTCCTGGGCTCTTTGCGTTTTGATCGCAGATGCATGCGGCATGCGTGTGGCTTCTATCCAGGCAGCCCAGGGGAGCCAAGAACACAGCCCCCCCCCAAAAAACAGCCCACCCTTCACCCGTCTGGGTGTGGATAGCCCCCGCGAAGCCTGGAGGGAGCATTACCTAGCCCCACTCGGGTGGGTGAAGCGGGCAGTGGGGCGGCCCAGGCCGCGCTGGTGGGGATAAGGGTCGGTTGAACGATGTTCAGTCGGCGGAAAATTGGTGCAAGTTCTTCGCCGAGGGCTTCTTTCGGCCACGCGCGGACGGGGGTAGGGGGAGGGGGGAAGGCTTCTTAGAAGCACTACTGCTTCTGAAAAGCGTCACCCCCTCCCCATACCCCGTTGTGCGCCCCGCCAATCCTTGCCCCTCTTCTGGAGGAGAGCATCGTCCGTCGCAGGCCCTCTGTTCATCTTATACGGCTGCTTTGCCCGCCACCACGCTTGCGTGGGAGACCCCGGAGCTAGGATAATCTGCAGGCACCATCGCCTCCAGTGACTCATCGCCGAATCAATACCAGCCTCGAGCGAGTCCCCGAGAATACCAGGCAAGTGCCGCCGACAAACCATGAATGGCCAAAGCAGCAATCTACATGTGTGCCATGCTCGCCGCTGCGATCGTGGTAGCTGATTCTCTCCTGTCCCACTCAGAGAATAAAAAAAGCTTGCGGCCGCCTGTGAAGGACCCAGAGGAAAGCATTCCCTGCCGTGGCCAGGCTCGGACGGAGGGCAGGAGGGTTGGCCCGGGTTTGCCAGAGGGTTGGCCGGGGTTTGCTGGAGGACTGGCCAGGGCCGGGGGCACTTCTCCGATCGGTAGTTCTGTCCACGCACGCATCGGCACTGGGGACTTCAGACAAAAGAGAGCGGCATGCCGGCAGGTGCCCCGCGGCCACTTCTGAACTCCCGACGGCCTCAGGGGCCCACAGAAGCCCTGGGGCACCTTGGGACCCTGCATGATCGAGGAAGAATGTGCCACACACACACGCACACGCACTTTCGTACAGTGGAGACCCATGCCAAGAAACACCCTGCTAGGGTGCCCTTGGTTTCTTGGGTTTCGATGGTTATTCTATGGAGAGAGTGACGCTCCCACACCACAAATCAATGGACGTCCTGGGGTCTCAGGGATGGCTTTCCTGTGGTCGGGCCCCTGCTGTATAGCAAGATGTCTTATCGTATGCGGCGGCGGCGAGCGATGGGGGAAGTGAGGAGGATGCCTTCTCAGAGGGCGGCGGAGTTTCTCAGAAGCCCTCCGGCCTTTGAGAAGTTTTCTGCAGAAGGCCTGGTGACTTCTGAGCCTTATGGGAAGGCCTTGTCCTTCTCACTCCCCCCCGGGCTCGCCGCCGACTGTGTCTGCTGTATCATACCGTACCGTCTTGTGCTCCCCAAGAGGACCTTGAGAAGCTCACCGTTGCCCAGTTGAAGGATCGGCTGAAAGAGGCGGGCTTGCCGGTGTCCGGCAAGAAGGCCGATTTGGTGTCGCGCTTGATGGACCAGGTCTCATCAAACGGCGGCGCCGAGGCCGGCTCTAGCGGATATTTCATAACGGAAATACCATGACGCTGGTGCTCTTCAGGGGCAACGTTAGGGTGTGTGTGTGTGTGCGGGTTCGGGATGCATCGACCCAGAATCGCCCATCAATCGCCGGCAGGGGCCCGATAGCCCACCCCGCTCAGGAACATCTGAATTCGCTATCGGGGGCCTATCACCGATCTATTTGCGATGCATCGCCGTCTCCAGGTCGATGCTCCCCCCCCCTGTGCCAGTCCCGCCCCTATCGTTCCCCCCTCAGCTCTGGGTTCCACGACCCTCCTTGGGGGGCCTTCGTCTGTGCCTAGTTCGCCCCTCCTCTAGCTTCCGCGAGACGCGGGCGGCTCCGCCGGCGAGGGGCCGGCGGACGGGCGGCACGCAAGGAGAGAGCGCGAAAAAGAGTGCGCGCCCCCCGAGGGGTGTCAGCAGTTTTGGGAGTCGCGGCTTCTGCAGCGCGCCACCCGCTCTGGCCAGGGGAGCGGGGCCCGGGGCCTTGTCGGAGTCCTAGAGATTGACACCAACACCAAGATCGGCGGTGTGCCTCCACCGAGGGAAGACGATCCCGATCTCGGTGATGGTGGCAATATTCTGGCTCCCAAGGTGGCCGAAATATTGCCACCAGCACCGAAGTCTAAGATCATCATCTCCCTGTGGAGGCAAACCCCTGTGCTGGTGTTGGTGCCAATTTCCAGGCCTCCCACCTTGCCCATCGGCCGTGCCGGTCTCGCTCTCGGTGCCCGTGTCTCTGTGCGGGGCTCGCCGTGTGCTCGGCTCGGTCCACGGAGGCCCGGAGGGCCCGGAGCGCGTCTTCGGGGGCCTCGACTCGGACCCGCCCTCGTCCGCCGCCGCCGCCGCCGCCGCCGCCACCGCCTTCCTCCTCCCACTGCCCCTCCATGTTCCTCCGCCCGCGTGCCGCCGGAGCCCTCCAGTGGTAATTACAAGCCTCCGCAGCTCTGCGCGAGCTGATCTGGTCGGCGCAGGGCCCCGCTTGCCCTTTCGGCGCTCCCCGCGCGCCGGCCCGACAGAACTGCGCGGCGCCCCGATGACTCATGTTTCTGCGTCCTTCCCTCTGCTGATTTTTGTTGTTGCTTGTTTTCTGTTTCTGACCTCGGGTGTTCCGAGGATGGCGGTCCCTGTCCAAGGCGTACCTTTTCCTGCATATCCACTTCAGCACCGCCTGTTCCCCGGGCCCCGCCCGCTCCGGCCGCCTGAGGCCCCGCCTTCCTGTGCCCTGTCTCCCTAATTAAAGCTGCGCGTAGCCCCCCTAACTTATAGCGGAAGAGGTTCGCTCTCGCCCCGCAGATCAAAAAAGTGTTCCGAGGATGGATTTGGCCTGGTGGTCGTCCCTGGGGGCCCGTGTAAGCCCTCTTGGATTCTGGCGGCCTCCAGAGGTCCGCAGGAGTTTCCGGAGGTTCGGATTGGCCCTCGGAGGTTGGCGACCTCTTTTCCTTCTCCCCTCCCTCCCTCCCTCCCTCTCGGTCGCTTCTGGGCGTGGTGGGCTGGCCCTTGAGGGTCATGTTCGGGGTCCTCCAGGAAGCATTCCCCGGAGCGTGGAGCTGCTCGCTCGCCTCCGGCCGCAGGCAGGAGCCGCGGACGGCATCTTGGCCCTTCCAGGAAGGATGCTTGAGAAAGATGTTGTTCACGTGAACCACAATGGCGTGGATACCTTCTCACTCGTGCAAGGAATAGCGGAGGGCAGCGTCACTGGCGCTGACATATCCGCGGTCGAAGCAAGCGACCCAATCCAGCATAGTTCCGCTCAATCGTATTCGATCCCGATCAATCGGGATTAATCCTGTTTAATCTTGGCTCACTAATTGGGCCTAGTACTGTATAATCGGTCGTGCGAAGACCTCCGGCGTTTGGACGACACCCCAGAGCGCTCGGAGAGCCCCGGGCGTGCCGATAGCTGATTGGAGAGACCCTGTGCCCCCAAATCTTCCAGCCCGCCCCAGAGCCCTTTCACCCGACGCCGTGTTTTTTTCGCAGCGTGGCTCGCCATGGAGGTCTGGGCCTCTGCCTGGGGACCCGCCTTTCATCCCAAGCCAGTTCTCTTCACGGCCCCAGAAGGGACCCACAGGCCGCAAGCTGTGAGAAACCGTCAGCGGTTTTTTACCTAACAGCGAAGACTGATAGGTTTCTAGTGGTGTCAAAAGAGAGCAGCAGATGACTCCACAGGGGGGTCCGGGCGGGACCCGGGGCGGCTGCCGTCGAAGCCCAAATCGCCTGGGACATCCTCGCAAAATCGCTCTTGGCGCTGCTAGAACTCCATTCCCGGCGTACATTTTGGATGCCCGGAGCCAACTGTAGGCCACTTCGTGGTCTTCGAGTTCCCAGAACTCCATTCCCGGCGTAGATTTTGGATGCCCGGAGCCAACTGTAGGCCACTTCGTGGTCTTCGAGTTCCCAGAACTCCATTCCCGGGCCACATTTTGGATGCCCGGAGCCAACTGTAGGCCACTTCGTGGTCTTCGAGTTTCCAGAACTCCATTCCTGGGCATGATTTTGAATGCCCGGAGCCAACTGTAGGCCACTTCGTGGTCTTCGAGTTCCAAGAACTCCATTCCTGGGCCACATTTTGAATGCTGAGGAGGGCTGATGCTGAGGCTGAGGCAGGCTGAGGCTGAGGCTGAGGCTGAGGCTGAGGCCGAGGCTGAAGGCAGACTGAGGCTGAGGCTGAAGCAGGCTGAGGCTGAGGCTGAGGCAGGCTGAGGCTGAGGCTGAGGCAGGCTGATGCTGAGGCAGGCTGAGGCTGAGGCTGAGGCTGATGCAGGCTGAGTCTGAGGCAGGCTGAGGCTGAGGCCGAGGCTGAAGGTAGACTGAGGCTGAGGCTGAAGCAGGCTGAAGCTGAGGCTGAGGCTGAGGCAGGCTGAGGCTGAGGCCGAGGCTGAAGGCTGACTGATGCTGAGGCTGAAGCAGGCTGAGGCTGAGGCTGAGGCAGGCTGAGGCTGAGGCAGGCTGAGGCTGAGGCTGAGGCAGGCTGAGGCTGAGGCTGGCTGAGGCTGAGGCTGAGGCTGATGCAGGCTGAGGCTGAGGCTGAGGCAGGCTGAGGCTGGGCAGGCTGAGGCTGAGGCTGAGGCAGGCTGAGGCTGAGGCTGAGGCAGGCTGAGGCTGAGGCTGAGGCAGGCTGATGCTGAGGCAGGCTGAGGCTGAGGCCGAGGCAGGCTGAGGCTGAGGCAGGGGGAGGCTGAGTCTGAGGCTGAGGCTGAGGCTGAGGCTGAGGCCGATGCTGAGGGCAGGTGAGGCTGAGGCTGAGGCTGAGCAGGGCTGAGGCTGAGGCTGAGGCTGAAGCCGAGGCTGACGGCAGATGAGGCTGAGGGCTGAAGAGGCTGAGGCTGAGGCAGAGGCAGGCTGAGGCTGAGGCTGATGCAGGCTGAGCGATGAGGCTGGCTGCTGAGGCAGGCTGAGCGGGCCTTCTGAGGCTATGAAGGGTGCGACTGAGGCAGGACGAGGCTGAGGCCGAGGCTGGAAGGCAGACTGATGCTGAGGCTGAGGCCGAGGCTGTAGGCAGACTGAGGCTGAGGCTGAAGCAGGCTGAGGCTGAGGCTGAGGCAGGCTGAGGCTGAGGCAGGCTGAGGCTGAGGCTGAGGGAGGCTGAGGCTGAGGCTGTGACTGCGACTGCCGTTGCCACTGCGACTGTCATCGCGAATGCGACTACGACTGCGAGAACAGCAGAACTCTACAACTGGATTCTCATCTGAATCGTAAGGGGAATGCTTCCAGATATGCTCCTACACATCGCTGTTAGGTTGCTTTGCCGGGATTTTTTTTTCTCTCGCGACGCGAGCGTGCCTGGGTCTGAGCGCTCCAGCTCCGGTGAGGAAAACCATGCAGCATCCGCGCGGCGCGCAGCAGTCATATTATCCAGTCCACACGTCCGTCCCGTAGGAGGTGGGACGACGTTCGCGCGGCGATGTTCTGACGAACGCCCAGCGTAAATCCGACGTGCATCCGACGTGACTCCGACGCGAACCCAACGTGAATATGACGCAAATCCTACGTTCATCTGACGTACACTGACTAATTCCAGGCAGGGGAGACTCGGCGCTGGTATATCTGGGGTCGACAACTGGCCTAATCTGGATGAGCGTTAATCCCGCTTGATCCGGCTTCATCCTGCTTAATCTGGCTTTCAACCCACTGAATCCGGCGTGCGTTCCAACCGAGTCCGGCTAAATGTGGCTCAATGGCCTCTTTATCGGGCGTGGTATTTTCAATGGTTCTGGTGAAGACCTCCCAGCAGTTGCCTCCCAACCCGAGGGCGCTGGCGCGGCGACGTTCCGACGAAAGTCCGGCCAAAGCCAGGAGCGGAGACTCGCGTGAGAGATGGGACGACGTTCGCGTGGCGATGTTCCGACGAGAGCTTGACGCACATTCGACGTAATTCCGGGAATCCGTCGTAAATCCGACGGAGACCCATTGCGATTCCGCCGTATTTGTGGATTTACCTCAGAACCCCAGGCGCCCTGAGATCCAACCTTGCGGAAAAAACGTGCACCATCACGAAACATCTTGTCCGAAAACCTAGACCCGATTGTTCTGCAGCGTTTTTCGGGGTGGATCGAGCTCTGCAGGGTCCCAGGGCCCGAAGCTGGGCGAAGACACCCGGTGTGACAGGAAAACATGGAAAAATATGGGAAGTGGGGGGGAAGACAAAAGCTCAGAAAATATTGAAAAATAGGTTTTTTTTGTTAGTTGTGTGTATTTACTTGTGTGTCCTTGGGGCGCCTGGGCCCGGGCGGCCCAGGGAGGGGCAGACTCGCGGGGGCGCCGGCGCGGCCGAGGCCGAGGCGGTGCATCGGTGACGTCGGCGATGCATCGGCGCCGTCGGCGTGGAGAGAAGCGGGCTCCGTCCACGTCGAGCCTCATCTGCGATGTATCGGCGATGCGGCGCGATCCTCCGACTCCTCCTCCTCCTCCTCCTCCTCCTCCTCCTCGGACTCCTCGGACTCCGTTCAGACTGCCTTTATCTTTGCACCCCAGGCCAGGGGGACCCGCGAGGGCGCCGGCGCGGCCGAGGCCGAGGCGCCCACGAAGTCCTCGGCGGCGGCGCTGGCTGCCGCCTACGAGGCGGGCCTCAAGGCGGAGGGGCAGGCGCCCAAGGCCGCGGAGGCCGTTCTCCTCCCTCCTCCTCCGTCCTCCTCCCTCCTCCTGCTCCTCCTGCTCCTCCTCCTCCTCCTCCTCCTCCTCCTCCTCCTCCGTCCTCCTCCGTCCTCCCTCCTACTCCTTCCTCCTCCTCCTTCGTCTCCTCTCCCTCCTCCGTCCTCCCCTCATCCTCCTCCTCCGTCCTCCTCCTCCCTCCTCCTCATTTCCTCCTCCTCTTCTCCTCCTCCTCCCTCCTCCTCCTCCTTCACATCCCTCCTCCTCCTCCTCCTCTCGTTCCTCCTCCTCTCCGTCATCCTCCGTCATCCTCCTCATCTTGTCCTCCTCCGTCCTCCTCCTCCTCCACCCTCCCTCTCCTCCTCCTCCGCCGCCTCATCATCCTCCTCCTCCTCCTCCTTCCTCATCCCTCCTCCACCTCCCTCCTCCTCCTCCTCCTCATCCCCTCCTCCTCATCTCCTCTCCCCCTCCAGGGCGACTCCTCCTCCTCCTCCTCCTCCTCCTCCTCCTCCTCCTCATCCTCCTCTCTTTTCCGTAGCCATTTTGGCTCAAGTCCGTAGCGGTTTCGCTCAGCACTTGAGATTTTGGCAAGGGGATCCAGCGGCCCCACCTGCTTTCTCCTGGCACTACCAGCCAGGCCACATCCAGCGATACAGTAACCTCTGTGCCAGCACGGGCACGTTTCTCTTTCCAGTGAGCTCCTGCAGGAGCCCATGCCGAAGGATGTTAAAGGATATCTCACTTGCTCGGCGTGCAGGTACAGATGGAACTTCAAGACAAACACGTTCTGCTACACCTGCCAGGCCACGCTCCTCCCGAACGAGATGCCTTGGAGAGTCGCCCAGGGTGTGTGGGCCTCCCCGCCGCATGGAGCAGGCGGCCAGCCGCCTGCGGGTGCGGGGTCGCCGCCCTACCCGCCAGGCACGTGGCCGCAGTGGGGAGCGCCGCCTAGGAGATTGGCGCCGCCCCGCACCTCCACTCCTCCGCAGCGAGGCTCGCCGCCGACCACTGACGCCCTCTTGGACGAGCTCAAGGCCAGGGTCGGGGACGCGGCGACTGCGGAGATGGCGGCGCTCCAGCAGGCCTTGGCGCCACCGCAACAGACGAAGGCCCCTCCAAGAGAGCCCCTGCTGGAGGAGACTGTCTCAGCAAAAGGGGTGGCCTGCCGCAGGGCCCAGAAGTGGCTACGAGAGTGTGTGGCGAAGGAGGACGAGGCGGCACGGTGGCTTCAGGAGCTGCGGGCCGCCACAGCGGAGGCAGCCGTCGAGGCCTACGACGCGGAGCAGGCGTGGAAGGATGAGCTACGGGTTGAGCTTCAGCGTGCAGGCGAGCACCGACCTTGCCCACCAGAGGAGGCAGCCGCGAAGCCAGCAGGCTCCCAGATCAACTTGTCGGAGTTGCTCACGGGCGAAGGGGGCATCGACACCGTTGAGATCGTGGATGGGTCCGTGCTCGACCTTTCGGACCTGGAGCTCGACGATGCGGACAGGGAAAGCTGGACAAACCTCAAAGCCAACATGGCGTCACAGATCCAGCAGGCCATCCTGGCAGCTATCGGGCCAAGCGCTGAGCACATCCAGAAGCTCAGGCAAGAAGCTAGAGACATGCGTCAGCGGCTCGCCAGCAAGAGGGCCCGCAAGGACCCAAGTGGAGGCGCGACGCCGACACCAGAAGCAGCACCAGCGGAGACGGCAGGTGCGACGGCCAACACTGGGTCAGCGAGCTCTGCAGGCGCTGCTGGCGCTGGTGCTGCTCCTTCAGCCGCTGGGGGCCCAGGCGAACCACACCCAAAGCAGCGGGACCCCGAGAAGGTCAAAGCCTTGGTCGAAGCAGCTCGCGCCCACAACACAGAGTCCAGTCTTTGACGGGGCTTCTTGGCGAAGGATGGCATCGGGGCACCAAGGTGTCCTTGGGGAGCCCGAGGGGCAGACCCTAAAGGGGCAGAGGCGGTGGCCACCGTTTTTGGGGCGCACTGGCGTCCTTGGGGAGCCACAACGGCAAACCCTAAAGGGAGGCGCGGGTAGCGGGCTCTTGACCAATGCCGCAGACATGCGGGTGGGCGATCCCTTTGGTCGTGCCCAGCCTCTCGTCGGCGCCGCGGATGCGCGGGATGCAGCCCCCGACGAGAGCGACCCCTCCCACGCTGCTCACGGTTGGCCGCCGCCTCCCCCAGGAGTGAGCAAGGCTCTTTCACTTTTCTCTCAGGTCACTTACAACTCTTACGATTGGCGGAGGATGGCATCGGGGCACCAAGGTGTCCTTGGGGAGCCCGTGGGGCAGACCCTAAAGGAGCAGAGGTGGTGGCCACCGTTTTTGGGGCGCACTGGCGTCCTTGGGGAAACGGCAAACCCTAAAGGGAGGCGCGGGTAGCGGGCTCTTGACCAATGCCGCAGACATGCGGGTGGGCGATCCCTTTGGTCGTGCCCAGCCTCTCGTCGGCGCCGCGGATGCGCGGGATGCAGCCCCCGACGAGAGCGACCCCTCCCACTCTGCTGGCGGTTGGCCGCCGCCCCCCCCAGGAGTTAGCAAGGCTCTTTCACATTTCTCCCTGGTCACCTACAACTCGAACGCTTGGTCGACTGGTCTTAAGTTTTTGGAATGGTCGAAGCTGGTCAAGGGCACTGTGTATGATGCCGTTCTGGTCCAAGAGCACCGTTTGCTTCAACATCAGATCCAAGCCCCCAGGGCCTGGGCCCATCAGGCGGGGTACGCTTCTTCTTTTCAGCCAGCGGCCAGCACAGGGATAACGGACAGAGAATCGTCAGCAGGCACGGCGGTGCTGGTCCGCAGTCAACTTGGCGCAGCAGGATACCAGCATCGGTTCCTCGGCGAGCGCGTGGCGGCTTGCAGAGTCGCTTTGGCCTACAACGTGGAGGTGCTGGTAGTCTCGGTATACGGGCATACTACTTTGGGGCTCAGCGGGGCCAATCTCGATTTCTTGGAGCAGGTCAGCGCGGTGGTAGCAGAGGCTAACATCCCTTTCGTCATCGGCGGTGATTGGAATATTGACGCTGAAGAGCTCAGGGAGCCCCAGTGGACTGGGCACCTCGGGGCCAGCATCCTGCGGCCAGAAGGTGCGACCTGCCACGACCACTGCTACGACTTTTTCGTCATCAGCGGGTGCCTGGACTACCGCGTCGACTGGTGCGCTGGAGTGGCCGACGCCCCAGTAGGGCCGCACTCTGCGGTGGCCCTCCGCATGCGAGCGCTGGCTGGCCAGGCCAAGGTTTGGAAGCGCATTGTGCCCAAGCGTTTCCCTCTGCCCCAGGATGATGATGAGAGGATGCAGCTGGTTTTTTCGGGATCCTGGGACGGCCCAAATTTTTTGGGCCTGGATCCTCTGGACGCTGCGTCCAGATGGTTCTCCTCTGCGGAAAGGGCCCTCGCTGAGGTCCACGGTGTGACGGACCCCAAGTTTTTCGGCCGACACAAGGGCTGTCAGATACAGCCCGTCCCTCTGCGAGCAGCTTGGGGCCAAGAGCTCTACCAGCGTTCTAATCTGCTCACTCAGAAGTGGCTTTCGCTGCGCCGCCTGTCCATCCAGTTTTTAAAAGCTACTAAACCAGAGGTTCAGGCTCAGCTGGTCAGGATTGCATCGCCCCTCTCAACTTTGTTCGCGGAGGCGGGGCAGGAACAGCTCCGTGGACTTACCCTGGCTAACTTCTTTACGCAGCTGGCCGACAGCGCGACCAGAGGGCCGCTAGTGGACGCGGTCCAAGCGGAGGTCGTCAGCAGGGTGAAGCAGGAGGCGGCTGAAGGCCGACAGAAGTGGAAGTCGTGGGCGAAGTCGTCGGTGGCTGGATGTGGTCGTGTCGCTCACAGGTTCAGCAAAGGCCCAGCCCCTCCGCCCCTGCCAGTTTTCGAAGAGGTCGATGACCAGGACCTCCCGCAGAATCGGCTTTCGATTCTGGTAGGCCAGGCCGCTCTAGAGCAGACCCTCAAGGAGTGGATTCCCATTTGGACCAGCGCCGAGCGCGAGGGGGAGCAGCATCCCCTTGACTGGACGGTGGAGGATTCGCTCGAGCCGATCTCTGCTGAACAGGTTCTAGAAGCGGCGGCTTCTTTCAGCCCGACCACGGCTTTGGGTTGGGATGCGTTCAGCCCGCGGCTCCTGTTGCAGCTCCCTCGGCCGCTTGTTGAGGCCTTTGCGGCCATCCTCGCTGCTGGGGAAAGGAATCCGAGGGTGGATCAGATGTGGCTAGTGCTGATCGTTTTTCTCGACAAGCCTTCGGGAGGAGTCCGACCGATAGGGCTGCTTCCCCTCTTTGCGAGGGTCTGGGGCAGAATTAGGCACAGGCTGTGCTCTGAGTGGGAACGTCGCGCTGATGAGCGTTTCTTTTGGGGTATGAGCACCAGCGCAGCCTGTGACAAGAGCGCTTGGGTCCACAACGCTCTTGCAGCCTATGCCCGTTCCCAGCCTGGCTGGGCCTCTTGCACGCTTTTCATAGATCTGCGCAAGTTCTATGAACACATCTCGCACCAGGAGTTGCGAGAAGCCGCCAAGCATGCAGTTTTTTTTTTTTTTTTTTTTTTTTTTTTTTTTTTTTTTTTTTTTTTTTTTTTTTTTTTTTTTTTTTTTTTTTTTTTTTTTTTTTTTTTTTTTTTCGGAAGCCCTCTTGAGGAGCTACTGTTCGATGTACCGTGCACCGCGTAGGGTCTCGTGGCAAGGCGCGGTCAGCAGAGTCCTCGTGCCGAACGGCACGGTAGTTGCAGGGTGCTCTGGGGCCACCACTCTGTCCCGCTTGCTCCTCTTAGCTTGTTTGCGGCGCGCGGCGTCGGCCAGCCCAGTCGTCTGGATAAAAAATGTAGTCGACGATGTCTCGCTGCGCGCGGTTGGAGGCAAGGAAGTAGTTCGCAGGGAGCTCGGGCAAGCGTTCCGCATGATAACGGCAGACCTAAGAAAAAAGGGGCTGCCCATCGCCTGTAATAAGCTCGGCCTCCTCTCTTCCTAGGGGGAGGTGGCGGACGGGATCCTCCTCGATTGTGGCCTCCCAGAGTCGGTGCGCGCCCAGGTCCATCGGGATCTAGGAGGTGACGCGACCGACGGCAGCCGTAGGCGAGTAAGCACACATCACGATCGTTTCTGCGCCGCCCAAGCCAAGGTCGGCAAACTCGTGGCCCTCAGAAACGCTGGAGCCCCAGCGGGCTTTGTTTTTCGGGCTGGAGTTTCTGCCAAGGCTCTATGGGGAGCCAACATCCAAGGGCTCCCTGACGGCAAACTTAATCAACTAAGGGTAGCTGCGCTGCGCGCTGAAGGGCGGTTGCCTCGCGGCTGCTCCCTGGACTTAGCTTCCATGTGCGCGCGTGGCGGCTGGACCCGAGACGCATTGGTCTTGGTCACAGCCGATGCTCTGAAAACATATGTGCAGATCCTCAGAGACAATCGCCTGTCCCCATCGGTGCTTCGATTTCTTTTTACCCAAGGGCAGGCCATTGCGTCAAAAGCCCGCCCATGGGCGCAGGTCAAGGACCCTGTGGCGGCTCTAATCCTCACTGCGGGGCGATCAGGTCTGACTTTCACCGACCCCTGGACGCTGTGCGAGGCCTCAGGGCAGGTTTGGTCCCTGGCCTCTGTCTCGCCTGCCTTCGTTGCTCGCCGTGCTCGCTTCGCTGCACGTCGCCTGTCTGATCACCGAGGCCTCAGCAAAATCAGCGGAGGCAAGGGTTGGTTAGGCGAATTTTTTTGGCGCCCCCTCAACGAGAGGCTGCACTGCAGACGGCAGCAAGGCGACGATGACGGGGCGGAGTCGGGTACGGGTGGAGCTTGGGGGGTGCGGGAGCAGAGGACCTTGAGAGGCCTTGTTATGGGCTCGCACTGGTGCCATCACAGGCTTCACCAGCACGACCCCCAGCTCGAGGCAGACTGCCTCATCTGTCACGGGGCCAGAGGCACCCTTTTTCACAGGCACTTCGAGTGCCCTGCCCGTGCAGCTTGGCGGCGAGACCATCTCCCGCCTGAGCTCCAGGCAGCGGCTGCTCGTCTTGCTCGCTGCCCAGTTGAACTGCAAGAGCGATTCGCCCGAGGCATCCTCCCTGACCCCTGTCAGCTGCTCGCGCGGAGGCCCTGGGGCCCAGCGTGGGAGTTCAGGGCTGAAGGAGTGGGTGCGTGTTTGGCGGTGGATAACGCTCACGTCTTCTGTGGCGGCTCGGGTCACGATGGAATGTTCCCCGCTTTGCGTTCGGCAGGCTGGGGAGTTGCCATTTATGACAGCGAGCGTCGCTGGATCACGGGCTGGTTTGGAGCCGTCCCGCCAGCCACTCTGCCTGACCAAGTCGCCCGAGATGGCGAAGATTTTGCAGTTTTCATGGCCGCGAGTTTTTTAATTGGCACGTTCACGCTTTACTCTGACTGCAAAGGAACTCTCGAGTGCTGTCGCCATAGAAGCTGGGCCGAGAGTCCAGCCAACACACGTATGCATCTGTGGAAGGAGCTGTATGCTAAAAACGATTTGTCTGGGGTGAGCTGCTGCAAGGTCAAGGCCCATTCGAGCATGGATGACGTTCGGGAAGGTAAGATCAGCCTGTTTGAAAAAAAAACGGGCAACGACGCCGCCGACCGTTTGGCCAAGCAAGGCGCCGATCTCAGCAGGCAAGACCCTCAGGATATGCTAGTGGTCAAAGGCATGCTGTTTATGGCCCGTCAGGTCACCTCTTTCATTACCAGGGCCGAGGTTCATTATTCCGACCTAGGCGTGTTTGATAATGTGGGCGCCCAGGGGCTCACCCTCATTTCGCTCGAGGGCGGCGAAGGCCTGGAGGAGGACCTGGAGGAGCTCAGGAGGAGGGAGGCGGCGGAGGGACGATCTGCTGCTGCTGCTGCTCCCCCTCCTGCCCCAGCGGACCCCTCCCAGGACCTGCCTGAGGTGCCCCTGGGCCCCGACCTGGCCGTCCTGGCCAGGGATGCTCACCAGGCCCCCTGGAAGCAGGGCGGCCACCAGCTGTTGGAGTTCCCGCTGCACGGTGAGGATCTCGCTCCAATATTTTTTTGCTCCACGTGTGGAGGGTATGCGACGGTCTCGGTCGGAGCTAGAGGCCTCAAGTCGGTCTGCCCTGGGGCCCAAGCGAGTCTGATAGACCCTGGCCGCAAAAACACCCGCGCTGTTTTAAGGTCGAAACATCCCAATCGCGCCTTTAAGCTTGGCCCCTGGAAGTCGCCTGGGGAGCGGGCTCGGGAGGTCTTTGGGGGTTTGGACGGCGGCCCAGGGGTCCAGCGAAAGGGCCAGCGAAGTGCGGTGGTCCCTGGATTTGTACCTGACCCCATCTGCTCGGCAGACTGTCTGCAGGCGTTCGGTTTGAATGAAACTGAAGCCCGAGTGCTTGGGGCCAGGCTGCGGGAAAAGCAAAGGGTTGCCGCAGACTTGGCGTTTGAAGACGGCTAGCTGTTGTTGCCCTGGGGGGCCTTGTCGCTGGCCCCTGACAGGTCTTTGGCCTTCCTGTCAGGGTGACAAAAAGGTCCACTCCGATGGGCCCCCCTCGGGCGTTTTGTTTCAGCTGACTGTCGGATTTTTTCTCTTCCCCCCCCCTCGGTGGCGTGCGATCCTCCTCCTCCTGCTCCTCCTCCTCCTCCTCCTCCTCCTCCTCCTCCTCCGTCTTCCTCCTCCTCTCCTCCCTCCTCCTCCTCCTCCTCCTCCTCCTCCTCCTCTCTCTCCGTCCTCCTCCTCCGTCCTCCTCCTCCGTCCTCCTCCTCCTCCTCCTCCTCCTCCTCCGTCCTCCTCCTCCTCCTCTCCTCCTCCTCCTCCTCCTCCTCCTCATCCTCATCCTCCTCCTCCTACCCTCCTCCTCGTCCTTCTCCGTCCTCTTCCTCCTTCTCCCTCCTCCTCCACTCCTCCTCCTCCTCCTCCTCCTCCGTCCTCCTCCTCCGTCCTCCTCTTTCTCCTCCGTCCTCCGTCACCTCCCTCCTCCTCCGTCCTCCTCCGTCCTCCTCCGTCCTCCTCCTCCTCCTCCTCCTCCTCCCTCCTCCTCCTCCTCCTCCTCCTCCTCCTCCTCCTCCTCCTCCTCCTCCGTCCTCCTCCTCCTCCTTCTCCTCCTCTTCCTCCTCCTCCTCCTCCTCCTCCCTCCTCCCTCCTCCTCCTCCTCCTCCTCCTCCTTTCGTCCTCCTCCTCCTCCGTCCTCCTCCGTCCTCCTCCTCCTCCTCCTCCTCCTTCGTCCTCCTCCTCCTCCGTCCCTCTTCTCCTCCTCCTCCTCCTCCTCTCCTCCCCCTCCACCTCCCCCTCCTCCTCCTCCTCTCTCCTCCTCCTCCTCCTCCTCCTCCTCCTCTTCTTCCGTCCTCCTCCTCCGTCCCTCCCTCCGTCCTCCTCCTCTCTCCTCCTCCTCCTCCTCCTCCGTCCTCCTCCTCCTCCTCCTACTCCTCCTCCGTCCTCCTCCTCCTCCTCCTCCTCCTCCCCCTCCTCCGTCCTCCTCCTCCGTCCTCATCCTCGTCTTCCATTGAGGCCGCGGATGCCGAGCAGCCAGAGGAGGTCCTGAGGGATCAGGCTTCGGGCGTGGCGCAACCCAGACCCCCTCGAGTCATGGAACAATCACGACGGGAGTTTTTTTGGCTTTTGTTCAGCCTTTGGTGGCCCTCGCCGGGCCTCGGGTCTCGAGGCCCGAGTCGGAGCCGTCAAACAACGACTTGGGATGAAGAACCGGTCATGGGGATTGGGTCAAGACCTCGAGGGGTGCACGTGACGTCGGAGGTCTGGGAAAGGTGCATCTTTTTCGGAAACTGGAACATATACATTACCAGTGGCGGGCGGTTTCTCAATCCCACGACTTTCTTGAGGGTCGGGGACGACGTCGGGGTGGTGTGGTGTATACTGTTCCCCCTTTTTCCAAGGGAAGTAATGACAAATGTATACACCAGGATGCCGTATACACCATAATCTGCTTTCTTGTGCGAATCTCAGTGCGGGACCGGAAAAAGCATCGGTGTATAAGCTTCGATTCCTTACTTTTGTGCCCGAAATGGGCGAACCAAAAGGTACCAATAGCGCTACTCTAGGGACCTCTCCCGGGACGCGTTCTGACTGGGATTTCGAGGCGAATCCAGCGGTGGCGACGAGGGCCTCCGAGGAGGCCGACCAAGGGGAAAACGGGCAGAGGGTAGCGGTGTCGGTACCTTGTCTTCCTCCGATTCATCTGGCCCGGAGAGCCCCCCTGTGGTCCAAAGGACACACGAAAGTTCTGTTGCATCTTCGGGGGACCTCGCCTGTCCCCAAAATTGGTGGCTTTTGGGGGGCCCGACGCGGGCTCGATGCGGACTCGACGCGGATTGGGCATGGATTCGACGCGGATTCGACACGGATTCGACACGGATCTGACGCGTCCGACATGGATTCGACACGGATTCGACGCGGACAGGGCCGCGACGGGACAGACAAGGTCCCCCGAGGATGCAACATAACGAAAGATGCATGTTTCTTTCCCCCGCCTCGCCGTCTATCGCCCCCCATGAAGCCACGCCCGAGCAGGAGCCGTGGGACCCGGCGCTGCCGGAGCCGGAGGAGCCCGCGGGGGAATCCGGATGTCCGAGGATGCCGTTTTTCCAGCCGGCGTCTTCTCTCCCGTAGGTCGACTCTCGACCCTGACTTTCCAGAGAGCTATTTTCTAGCACGGGAGGCCCAAACAACCTAAAAAACGGAACGAAACAGCCTAAAGCGAAGACATAGAATAGCTCTGGGATAGGTTTTTCAGTCTCGTGCTGTTTTTTAGCCCTCCTGGAAGGTCAGGGGAGGGCCCCTTTTCGGGCCCATGAGCAATCAAACGTGGATCCGCGACGAAAAGCTGCACCCCGGAGGCGGTCGGGAAGGCACCCCCGCGCTGCCGGAACCAGGGGAGCCCCAGGCCTCTGAGGCTGCGACTCTTGTCGGCGGCGCAGTGCCGCGGTTCTGTCGGCTGGCGTTTCTTCCTAGCCTTCGGCCCCCTGGAGCCACGCTCGGGCCCCAGGGCCATCAAACGTGGATCCGCGACGAAAAGCTGCACCCCGGGAAGCGGTCGGGAAGTCGCCCCCGCGCTGCCAGAGCCAGGGGAGCCCCGGGTCTCCGAGGGCGCGACCTGTGTCAGCGGCGCAGTTCCGCGGTTTTGTCGGCTGGCGTTTCTTCTTGGATTTTGGCCCCAGGGCCACGTTCGGAGGAGGAGGAGGAGGAGGAGGAGGAGGAGGAGCAGGAGGAGCCACCTTCGGGCCCCAGGGCCATCAGACACGGAGCCGGGAGGGAACTGACGAACGAACAACACACACCCATACCCATAAGGGGGTCGCTGGGAGGAGGACTGGCTATGGGTATGGGTGCGGGTTGTCGGACCCCAGGGAACGCTCCCGTTCGAGCGGGACCCCCAGCCGACAACACGCACCCATAGCCCTTTCCGACCCCCCTATGGGTATGGGTGTGTGCTGTTGGTTCGTCACGAAAAGCTGCACCCTGGGAAGCAGTCGGCGCTTTCGGGGCTGCGGATCGAAAACAATTCGATCGGAGGTGTTCAGGGGATCGGGGCGCGGGTGGTGGGGGTCGGCCCTGGCGGGGGTCGGCTTGCCACTTCTGGTCCCGGATCATTTTGGCTGGCCCGGGCTTGGGGGCCGCGTGGAACCGTCCCCCCCCTCCCCCCTCCCATGCCTCCCGCCTGTTCGCGGCGGCGGAAAGCGTGTCCCTCCTTCCCCTCTTTCCTTTCTCCTCCTCCCCCCTACCCTGGTCCCGCTTCCCCTCCTCGTAGATTGACCTGGCGGTTCCCTTTTCTCCACCTCCCCCTAATCCCTCCTCGCTTCTTCTTCTTCCTCGTAGATCGACGGCGGACGGATAATGATGATGATGAGGAGCGTAAGGATGCAGTGGGAGGTCGAGGTGGAGCAGAATGAGACTGAGAAAAATGAGGCGGATGAGGATCATGGGAAAGGGACGGAGTGTGATGGAGGGGCGGGATGGCGATGGAGGACGAGGAGAAGGAGGAACGAGGAAGGGGAGGAGGAGGAGGAGGAGTAGAGGAGGAGGAGGAGCAGGAGGAGGAGGGGAAGGAGGAGGAGGAGGCGGAGGAGGAAGAGGAGGAGGAAGAGGAGGACCAGTGTAAACCTAAGACTCGTCAACGATGTTGGAAGAAGCCCTCCCTGCAAGCTCCCTCGCAACAGGCCCCTACAAGGGTTCATTTCCACTGGGGGAATTGCCTCGTAGGGAGAGAACCGTTTGAAGACCCTGAAACGTGCCAAAATACCGTTCTCGGGACGTCAACGCCACGAATCAACCTGGCTGTTGCGTCTTGACGATCCGGACTACCGCGAGTCAAAGTCATTGCTGCGCTCTCACAATCCTGGGACTCTTGCCAATGTTTTAGACGAGTGTACGCGGCGCTAAGGCGAGAGCTACATTTTGAAAACGACCCGCCGTCAACCCCTGAAACTCTTGCATTTGTTGGACGACTGTGCGCGGCGTTAAGGCGAGAGCCACATTCTGGAAACGACCCGCCCTCACCCCCTGAAGCTCTTGCATTTTTGATGCGATTGTGCGCTGCGCTCAGGCGAGAGCCACATTTTGAAAACGACCCGCCCTCAATCCGTGGAGCCCTCGCAGCTTTGACAAACGAATGTGTTCGGCGTTTGGGTGAGAGCCACATTTTGAAAACCACCCGCCGTCAATCTGCGAAACCCTTGTAAAGTTTGAATACGGACGTGCGCGGCGTTCAGGCGAGACCAATATTTGGAAACCACTCGTCCTCCATCTGTGAAAGCATTGTCACTTCCTAAGCTTCAGGGCCACGTACGGTGAAGGAGTCTCAGGTGAAACGCCCAGCCCGCCTTTCGACCGGCCTCTGGGTGCGACAGGGAGGAGTTATGGTTCGAAAAAGGGATGGAGGAGGAGGTGGTCGAGGAGAAGGAGGAGGAGGAGAAGGAAAAGAGGAGGAGGAACAGGAGGAGAGGAAGAATAATGGAGGACGAGTAACAGGAGGAGGAGGAGGAGGAGGAGGAGGAGGAGGAGGAGGTGGAGGACCAGTGTAAACCCAAGACGCACCAGGGATGTTGCAGTAAGTCCTTCCTCACCCTATTCACAGGTCCCCACGAGAATTTGCTGTCACTGCGGGAAGTGGCCGATCGAAAGAGAACCTTCTGAGAATCTTTTATTATCGTGCCCAAGCGCAATGCCCGGGACTTCAACGCCGCGGATCAATGGAGGTCTCAAGCGAAACGCCCGGGCCCGCCCTGCCACATTTTTTTGGGGGCGACAGAGAGGAGTTATCTATAAGGAGCAGGGATGGAGGAGGAGGTGGCGGAGGAGGAGCAGCAGCAGCCGGGCGACGAGCAGCAGCAGCAGGAATGGGGATGAGGGCGCGGCAGGGACGGAGGAGGCAGAGGCGGAGGTGGAGCCGGAGGATCAGGAGGTCGAGGGGACGAAGAGGAGGCCGCCGGAGCAACTCCGGCCGCAGCTCCTCCCGCCGCCTCCGCCGCCCCCCGAGGAGGATGCGGCCTTCGACTCTCGGCCGAAGCTCACGGGGCCGATCTGTTTCATGCCGGGCGACTCCACGCTGAACGTGCTGCCGTCCAGATCTGGCAGCGTCCTGATGTCCACCAGCCAGGGGGGACTCCAGCACCTCGTGGCCGGGGCACGCGCGAGCGTAGGCGGCCAGCGGACCAAGCGTGGCCTTGTCCTGTCCTCCTTCGCCTCCTCTCGTCGTCGTCGTCGTCCTCCTCCTCTTAACTGGCCACCATCCTCTCCCCCTCCGCTCCCTGACTCTGCCCCTTCTCTCCTAACTCGTCCTCCTCTCGCTCGTCGTCCTCCTCTCCCCCTCTTCTCCTCCTCCGCCCCCTCCGAATTCTTTTTTCGGTATGTGCCCCTACTCAGCCACCTGGCCGCCTGATAGCTGGGTCAGCCTTGCTTTTCCGTCCGACCCATGGAATCAGTCAGCGCCTTTTTTCTTTAAGCATAGACGGCTTGTTTGTCGTCGATGTACATGTGTGTGTGTGTGCGTGTGTGTGTGTGTGTGTGTGTGTGCGTGTGCGTGCACCTGTGCCTGGGGTGGCCTCTCCTGGCATGCTCTCGCCGCTTGGCGCCGTTGCATGCGCCTCTTCTCTACTCGTCGCATTGCGCCACCCCTGAGCGGATCGCCTGCGACGTTGCACGCGATCTTTCTCTTGTGTCCCAAACATGCCTCCACACTTGAAAGGCTTCGGTTTTTTCTGCATCCGTCAGCCGCTTGTCGGTTGGCCCCCATCGGGGTACGGTCGGTGGTAATCAGCTTCGCGAATCCCGCTAACAACCTCGCTGTGTTGGGCCAACCAGCCGCGAAGCAACGTGTGTGTATGTATGTGTGTGTGTGTGAATGTCTGTGTGTTTGCGTGAGGAGCGCGAGCGGCTCACATTGTGCTCGAGAGGGCGAAGTGTTACCCTTCGCCGTGGCGCCGCACCGAACTTCTTGCACGTTGAGCCCCATCCCCTGGGCACGGGGCACTCTTGGCTGTTCGCCGGACCGTCGGGATCGGGCCCCGCGCCCGAGGCAGCGACGCGTCGCCCTCGTCCGGGTGCCGTCTGTGTTGTAGATCTGCTCTCTGGAGAGCTGCGTTTTCGCTTTTGGCAGGGCGCATGTGTGTTCTCCGATCGCAGATCCCACCGTCGAGATTGATTGGTCGGTCGACCCTGCCAAATCGAGGGTGCCCTTGGGCCCTGATTGGTCGGTCGACCAACGCCCTCTTACATTCCTGTGGCAATGTGGCCCTCGGAAGGGTCTTCGTGTCCTCTCGCGTGTCCTCTCCAATCAGCCCCGACTGTATCTGAAGCTGGGCCGCGCGCCATCGAGCGGAATGCTTCGGAGGAGGACAGGGTCCATGCCAAGCAACACCCTGCTTGCCTCTAGGGTACCCTGGGTTTCTTGGGCGTCGATGGTTTTGCCATGGGAAGGGTGAAAGGGTTGGGTTTCTTGTGGACTGGCCTCCGCTGTATATCGCTGCGCTGCCCTCGTTGCCACCTGACGGATGCGCCCCGAAGTCCCGGTCAGAGCGCACCCTGGGAGAGGTCCGGGCATGTCCCTCTACAGGAGGAGTATTGACAAATATTATCAATATAGTCCAGGGACGGTTCTTCTATTATTTTTGTTTGGCAATTGTTGATTTGTTGTGATAAGTTGTTTTACTTGTTCTTCAAGATCTGTTTGCAGGGGGACATGCCCGACCTGAGAGTAGCGATCTGGGTCTTTTCTTTGATCCCCAGTGTTGCTGTCGTCCCAGGTCCCACAGTTTTTGCCCCCAGTTGCGTTATCTCGGGGGTGGCAAAGAGGGGGGTGATGACTAGGAGGGGGTGGATATCATGGCGTGGGCCATGAGATGTCCCCAGATTTCATGGCGCCTCTTCTTGTTTCCTAACGTCCCTGGCCCCCCCGCTGGGCCGCGCACATGCTGCCGGTCATGATTTGCACCCCCCCCTGTTGGACACCCCCCTCTTGGCCGCTCCCGATAATCTCAGGAGGGGAAGAGACACACAGACACAATTAATCGTCGATTCCCCAGAGAATATGGGAAAATATGGGAAGTGGGGGGGGGAAGACAACCCCCCCCCCAAAAAATATGGGAAAATATAGGGGAATCTTTTTCTTTGCGTGCATTTATTTGTGTGTCCTGGGGCCCCTTCATCTTGGCCGCTCCCGATACTCGCGCTGGCGCGGCGCACGTCCCCTCTCCTCCGCCGCCCCGTCGGCGGCGGGGTGCCGCGCGCGGTGCGCGCGCGAGCGTCCTCCCTCCGACTCTGTGGGAGCGCGCGCCGGGCCCGAATGCCCACTCGTGCCACCGCCCCTGCTTCTTTCTGCGAGGGGCGGGGCTGTCCTTGGCTCGCTCGAGCAGGCCAGCTCGACTCGTGCCCCTGCTGCTCCTCCTCCTCCTCCTCCTCCTCCTCCTCCTCCTCCTCCTCCTCCTCCTCCTCCTCCTCCTCCCCTTGGTGGGCCCTGGAAGCGACAGGGCCGGTTCTTTACCGGTTCCGTTGTGCCGTTTTTTCTGCCGGTTCCGACGCCGTTTTTGTTACCGTTTCCGTCGCCGTTCTTTGACGGGTTCCCGCTCCGGTGCCACTCCGGGAGCCGTTTCTGTTGCCGTCTCTGGTCGCCGTGTTTTTTGCCGTGCCCATGTTCGAGGGGCCCTTTTTCCCGGAAACGGTGAAAGAACGGCCCTGCCGTTTCCAGGGCCCACCAGGGGGGGGAGGAGGAGGAGGAGGAGGAGGAGGAGGAGGAGGAGGAGGAGGAGGAGGAGGAGGAGGAGGAGGAGGAGGAGGAGGAGGAGGAGGAAGAGGGCCAGCTCGGCTCCTGCTCCTGCCCCCCCCCACTCGTCACCGCTGCACCTGGTGAGGGCTTCGTCTCTGGTCCTCCGCGGCTGGCTCCCCCGCGGGTCTGCCTGCGTGGCCGGGCCGACTGGGCCGGTTGGTTGCTCGGTCTGCGGGCTGGCACCTCGGCCGGGCTGCCTGAGTGGATTGCTGGCAGGCCGTCTTAAAACGACACGAAGATCGGGACAACATCGGATCGGGATAACTCGAAATCTCTGAGAGTCGGCGGGTTTGGAGGATGTATTGGGCGCCGCGGCCGCTCCAGAGCGTTCCGGAACGATTTATCCCGATCCTAGCCCTGTTTTACGTCTGGTTTGTTGGCTGACGGGCTGGTTGAAGGGCGGAGCCATTCGTGGTGCAATGGATTTTGGCTTCGGGAACGCTGACCCGCAGTGTCTTACGAGGGATCGTGGCTTCGGGAGCGCGGATGTTTTTTTTTGTGTCGTCGTCGTCGTCGTCGTCGTCGTCGTCGTCGTCATCGAGAAAGTAGTATTTGATTTTTATATGCTCTGGGGACAGTTTGCCCGCAAGGGTTCTTCCAGACTGTCCTACGGAGCAGGCGGTGCACTGCCGGGCCCTCGTGGACTGCTGTTTAGGGTCTTCCGCCGCAGTGGTGCCATGGAGTCGAACCTGTTCTTTTCGATCGGAGCGTTTTCGGTGTTTCAGAGCGGTGCTTCCGCTGCGGCGTTGGTACCCTTGGAGGAGGAGGAGGAGGAGGAGGAGCAGGAGGAGGAGGAGGAGGAGGAGGAGGAGGAGGAGGAGGAGGAGGAGGAGGAGGAGGAGGAGGACGAGGAGGAGGAGGAGGAGGAGCTCTGCTCCCGTCGTGCAGCATGGCGCTTTCGCCTCCGCGCGGGCCACCTTTCTGGATCCGAGCCCTTCCGCGTCGTTGCCGTCCCGCTCCTCTCCCCTCCTCCGCGCTCCCCTGGTCTTCCTGCTCCCCCCGCTCCTCCTGCTGCTGCTGCTGCTACTGCTGCTGCTGCCTTTCTTCCTCGTCCTCCTGCTTCGGAGGGCACCAACTATACACCAACACCGATCCTGGCCCAGGATCACCTTGGGCCCAGGATCGGTGTATATGCCTTCTTGCGCAAGGCAGGAGGGCGTATACACCGATCCTGGGCCCAGGGTGATCCTGGCCAGGATCGGTGTTGGTGTATAGTTGGTGCATTCCTACTGCTTCCTTATCCTCCTCTTCCGCCTGCTGATCCGGCACGTCCTCCCTTTCGAATGTACACAGCTCCCACGCTCAGATTGTACACAACAGGCTGGGGTCCTTTCGGTGTTCCAGGTCCACTATGACACCCATCGCCGGATGCGGGCTACGTTATCAGCGCAATGGGGAGGGATGGGTGGGAAGGGTGGGAAGTCAGATAAGGCGCGAGCGTATCTACCTTGTCCGCCCCCCTCTCCCATCTCCTTCCCCTCTCGCCCCTCTCCTGGTCGCCGGGGCCCCGGCTCGTCTGCCATGTCTCTGGCCTTCGTCTTGCTATGTTCAGGGGGGGAGGGGTGTTCCCACACGCCCAGCGTGCAGGAGCCGCGCTGCAACTCTCTGCCTCCCTTCCGGGTCCCCTTCCCCGGCTCCCTCCCCATACCGATTTCCCCTGCCTTTTCCGACCCCGTCCCTTGCGTTCTCCTCCCTTCTGCACTTCCCTGCAGTGAGAGCGCAGTTCTTGTCTGGGTTTTCTCCTGTCGACAGGCGTCACCACGGGCAGGTACATGTTCGAGGCGATGATCGTCGAGAACTCCATCGCCGGTGCGCATGATTCGTGGCACCACCAGGCGCAGCATGCCTCCAGACATTGGCTGCGGATCGGCGTCTCGACCGCGGGATCTGCGCCGATCATGGGCGACACCGAGGAGAGCATCTGCTACGACTCGAACGGCAGCTGTCAGCACAATGGCGTGATTAGGAAGGGAAGCGGCAAGTTCCACCGTGGCCAGATGGTCGCCATAGTGCTCAACCTCAAAGGCAGCCCGGCGACTGAAGCTGTGACCCCTATCCCCCACAGCTGAGGTTGGAGGCCAGTGACGTGAATGCTTCTGGGCGCCGCGCCCACCGGGGAGTGGCACTCTCGTGCCTCGTTTGGCCGGGGGGCGCGCGCGCACGAACTGTGCGCGATAGCGATGTACCGTATCCGAGGCGGGGCTTTTCGGATCACTGCCGCCTGGGGGATCGATCTTCGGGGTCCTCGACAGGCGGCGGATATGGACATGTTCGGGCCCCTGGGGAGGCCCCAGACATCAGCATCTAGCGACTGCCGAGGTCCCCGAAGATCTATCCCCCAGGCGTTGGGTATGCATGGAAAAAAGTCCTCGCCTCGCACCGCAGCGCTGGCGGAGCCGCCTGCCCTCCCGCAGAGACGCCCCTCTGCTGCTCCCGTCGGCGGGCGCGGCGGCAAGCTCTGAGACCATCGCAAACATGGATCAAGGGGGCGTGGATTAGCAACGGGTCCCGCTTCCATGAGAAGCTGCGGATCTCCGCCGCCAGACGAGGCGGCACCGGCCGCCATTTGGGGAGGGCACCTCCCCCGATCCATGGCTTTGGCGACCGCGCGCCAACTCCATGGATCGCTAGTCCATGTCTGCGCCCCCGAGGCGCGTGCCACCGCGCCGCGGCGTCGTCGCCCCGCGGCGTCGTGCTGCCGCCGCGCCGCGGGGCGGCGTGGCGTCGTCGTGCCGTGGTGCCGCGGTGCCGCAGCGGGGCTGCGAGCCCCCCGGGGGGGAAGGCGGAGGCCGCAGGCCTTCGGAGGAGCTCCCTGTCGGAGGCCTAGAGGTTGACACCAACACCAAGATCGGCGTCGTGCCTCCACCGAGGGAGGAATATCCCAACCTCGGTGATGGTGGTAACATTCTGGCTTCCTGGGCGGCCGAGAGATGACCACCAACACACCGAGTTCTAGGATCATCCTTCCCTGGTGGAGGCAACCCCCTGTGTTGGTGATGGTGTCAAGTTCCAAGCCTCCAACCCTGGGACTGCCCCGGAGCCATGGGATGCTTCTCGGGGGGCCCCGGGGCTCCGAGAAGCCCCCGCCGCCTTCTGCCGCTTCGAGACTCCCCCTCGGCGCGCCTGCGGACAGAGCGAGCGGGCCGGGGCGGGGCGTCTGTAGCGGTCTCGTGGTTCCGTGCTGCCGCGGCGTGGGCCGGTCTGAGCGCCGTCCTTGCGTCGGGTGTGATCCGGTTGCCAGCCGGTTGTGGATCCGTAGTGGGGTGAAGTTCGGTTCGGCTGTGAGCCAATCGCGGACAAGCATGTGCGGATACATGTCGAAGCAACTGTAAGCCAGGAGCATGTTTTTAAATCTTCCTGCCAGAACGGCTGTTACCCTGGGGTGGGGGGAAGGGTCAGGTGACGTAACGGTTTGCGCCTGCGGGGGTTGGGGGGAGGGGCCCGGTAACGTCCGGGCTGGGAGTTGTTTGGGGCGATGACGGCGTCGACGACGACACATGTCGTCCTGAGGCTTCCGGATGCCTGGAGGTGCAGTGCACATAAGCAGTGTACACATAGGCATTGTGTACACAGGCCTTGTAGCATTGATGAGTTGTGGTGCGTACTTCTGCTGCAGCAGCATCGGTGATGTACACATGGGTTGTCGTGTACACAGGCGCTGCGGTGAGCACAAGCGCTGCGGTACATACGGCTGCTGTGGTGTACACAGGCGTTGTGGTGCGCAGGCGCGGTGGTGCGCATATACGTTGGTGCAGCAGCATCGGTTGTGTACACAGGCATTGTGGTGTACATAATCGCTGTGGTGTGCGCAGGCACGACTGTTCATACATGCCCTGCGGTGTACATAGTTGCTGTGCTGTGTGTACACAGGCGCTGTGCTGCACACATATTCTGCTGCCGCACTCTTATGTGCTGCTGATGTGCACACGTGCGTTGAGATGCACATAGTCTGCGTGGTATAACTACAGTGGCATTGAGATTGCCCAAAAGGTGGGACCGTACGATGGGGTTCAGAACAATCAATCACCGCACACAGTTTTAATTTTGAGTTTGATGCGTTCGGGCTCTTGACATTCTTTTTCTGGAGTGTGTTCCCGTCGAAGCTCTGGCGGTGTACACTTGCTTTGCGGTGTACACAGGCGATGTGGTGGACAGGCCCTGTGGTACACACATGGTGCTCAAGCAGCAGCTGTGGTGCACACGGTTGATGTTCTGTGTAGAGGCACTGGTCAAAGGCGCTGTGGTGCACATGGTTGCCGTGGTGTACACAGGCGCTGTGTTTTATACATGCGCCGTGGTGCACACACGTGTTGTTATTGTAGTGGCCTTCGGCCAGTGCCGCCGATCCGGGTCGCTCGGGGTTATTCTCCAGACGCAGAAATTATGGGCGCACACTCAAACGCACACACACAGTCACACCACTTAACCTGCGCCGCAGACATGCGCACACAGCATCACCCACACACACATACTAGTTGGGAAACGCTCCTGTAGTACTAGTAGTAGTATTAGTAGTAGTAGTAGTAGTAGTAGTAGTAGCAGTAGTAGTAGTAGTAGTAGTAGTAGTAGTGGTAGTAGTAGTAGTAGTAGTGGTTGTGGTAGTAGTGGTAGTAGTAGTAGAGGCCTCGTTCCGCGGCTTCTCTCGACTTCCCGCGGTCTCTCTCAAGTTTCGAGCACGCGGTGAGTTTCACGATATATGTGTGTGTATGTACGCGTGCATGCATGTATGCATGCATTGATCATGTGTGCCTGTGTGTAGGTACGTATGTATGTATGTATGCTTGTGCGCGTATGTATGTATTTAGTTTGTATGTATGTTTGTATGTGTGTATGATAATATGTGTGTATGTGTGTGAATGTAAGTATGTATGTCTGGAAGATTGTTTTTCTATGTATGCAAATGTGTTTAAATGTAGGTATGTATGCATGTGTGTATGGATGTGCGTTTGAAGAGCGAGGATGTTTCAAAGAAGAGGCACTCGGTGACGCGATCGTTGAGGGATAGGAGTGAGGTCGCAGAGGAGGAGGAGGAGAATGAGGAAGAGGCGATAACTTGAAGGAAAACGATGAGACGGAGGACATCCTGCCGGTGGCGCCCTGGGCGGTGCCGCGGAAGAAACCGGGGGCCTGCCGGAGGCAGTCTGGAGGCCTCTGGGGAGCTGTTTTGGGGCCTCTTGGAACCTCTTTTGGGCCTCTTGTGGGCTTCTTGGGGCCCCTTGGGGGTCTCTTGGGGCCTCCTGGGGGCCTCTTGGGGCGGAAAGCTCGGTTCTTTCGGTTCGTGGTCCCCCTCTTGGGCCCCTCTTGGGGCTCTCTTGGGGCCTTCTTGGGCTGTCCAGAGGCCCTCTTGGGCCGTCTTGGGGCCCTCTTGGGCCGTCTTGGGGCTCTCTTGGGCCGTGTTGGAAGCATCGTGGGCCGTCTTGGGACGGACTTGGGGGCCTCTTGGGCCGTCTTCGAGCGTCGGACGCCCGAAAAGGCAAGAACGCTAAAAACCCTGAGAAAACCAATGAAAATCAACGATTCTGGCCTCTTGGGGCCCTCTTGGGAGGCCTCTTGGAAGCTTCTTGGGGCGTCTTGGAGACACCTTGGGCCGTCTGGAGGCCATCTCGGGCGTCTTGGAGCGATTTTTCGGCGACTCGGGGCCCTCTTGGAACCCCTTGGGGGTCTCTTGGGCCCCCCCCCTCCTCCAAAGCGCCGGAAAAAGCGGAGCATGGCGCCCCCCCCCCCCCTATCTTCCACTCCCCCGGAGCGGCCCCGGGGTTCGCCGGAAACTCGCACCCCCCCCCCCCCCCCCACCCCCCCTTCCCCGGCAGAGCCACCCCGGCGACCCCCCCAGAGGCTGAAGCTCAGCCTCGAGGCTGTAGCTGAGACTCCTTGAAACTCACACGCCGGATCGGCGGATTTGTGGTTGTGGTTGTGGTTGTTGTTGTTGTTGTTGTTGTTGTTGTTGTTGTTGTTGTTGTTGTTGTTGTTGTTGCGCTAGCTATGGTGTGCAACGGCTTTGTGGTGTACGCAGTGGTTGCTGCATTCGCAGAACAAGGTGTTCCTACACACACGTGAACTGCTATATCATCAAATTCCACATCCGTCTTGTACCAATTGTGGCTCAACTTCGACCAAGTGCAAATTCATTGGACACGCTGTGGTGGTGTCGTGGTGTCAATTGCTGCACTGGAGGACAATCAGGTCTCAAGTTTGAAGCGATCGGAAGTCAAGCGTTACCCAGTTGTGAACCGTTTGAGAACCAACTGTGGACAAATTGCGGTCAATCCTCAGCGCATCGTGAATCGTCAGCCCTTTTGCTTCCTGAATGGGCAAGTGTTCGACTGAGGTAATGCTGGATGGATGTACGGACGGACGGGGGAGTGGAGCGGCCAGGCAGTGGAGACGCGGACAGCACCATATCCCTCTTCGTTGACGGCAAGCGCTTTGTGAAGCCGCAGAAGTTGCCCCAGGCCTTGGTGGGGAAGCCGCTCTTCCCCACCGTGACCTTCCGGGGCGTCACTCTGCACGTCCACTTCGGGCCGGAGCCCCGGGTGCCGCTGACGTTTGCTTGCCGCCCTCTGCAGGACAGCCCCGTCCAACGAGAAATGCATGATTCTTCTCTGATTGCTTCTTTACCCCCCTACTTCCCATATTACCTCCTCCTCCTCCTGCTTCTCTTCCTTTTTTACTTATTTATTTGTTTGTTTGTCTCCCTCTCTCTCTCTCCTCTATCTCCTTCCTCTCCCCAATCCCCCCTCTCGCTACCTCACCCTTTCCTCCTCGTACCCTTCCTTGCCCTCCTCGCACTTCTCCCCCTCCTCCCCCTGCTTCCCTCAGCGAGTGAGCTCCCTCCTCCTCCTGCTCCTCCTCCTCCTCCTCCTCCTCCTCCTCCTCCTCCTCCTCCTCCTCCCCCCCTCGTCCTCCTCCTCCTCCTCCTGCCCCCCCTCTCCCCCCTCCTCCTCCTCCTCCTCCTTCCTCCTCCTCCTCCTCCTCCTCCTCCTCCTCCTCCTCCTCCTCCTCCTCCTCCCCCTCCCCTCCTCCTCCTCCTCCTCCTCTCCTCCCTCCTCCTCCTCCTCCTCCTCTCCTCCTCCTCCCTCTCCCCCTCTCCCCCCTCCCCCTTCTCCCCCTCTCTTCCTCTCCTCTTTCCCCCCCTCCTTTTCCCCTTCCCCCCCTCCTTTTCCCCCTTCCCCCCCCTCCCCCTCCCCCCCCCTCCCCCCCCCCATCCTTCCCTCCCCTACTCCCTCCTCCTGCTCCTGCTTCTGCTCCTGATCCTGCTCCTGCTCCTCCTCCTCCTCCTCTTCCTCCGCCTCCTCCTCCTGCTCCTCCTCCTCCTCATCCTCCTTATCCTCCTCCTCCACATCCCCGTCATCCCCCTTCTCCCCCTCCTCCCTCTCCCCTCCTCCTCCTCCTCCTCCTCCTCCTCCTCCTCCTCCTCTTCCCCCTTCTCCCCCTTCTCCTCCTTCCCCTCCTCCCCACCTCTCTCCCTCTTCGTATTCTTCTTCGTCTTCGTCTTCTTCTTATTCTTCTTCTTCCGCCGCAGCCTCCTCCTCCTCCTCCTCCTCCTCCTCCTCCTCCTCGTCCTCCTCCCCTCCACCTCAGGACGCGGCCTTGGAGGACACCATTGCGTCTCCGTCTTCCGCGTCAGCAAAGAGCGGCACATGCGAAGTCATCTTTCCAGTCTGCTTGCCCGACGAGGGAACGTTCGACTGGCTGGATTGGCAGCGAGCGGAGGAGGGAAAGGACGAGGTGGAGGAGGCATAGGCAAGGATGAGGAGGATGAGGATAAACATGAGGATGCTGATGCTGATGATGATGAGGATGATGATGAGTGATGATGACGATGCTGCTGCTGATGATGATGCTGATGCTGATGATGCTGCTGATGATGCTGCTGATGATGATGGTGCCGATGAGCCTGATGATTATGATGATGACGATGACGATGGTGATGAGGATGCTGCTGATATTGATGATGATGCTGATGATGCTGCCGCTGCTTCTGCTGCTGCTGCTGCTGATGCTGATTATGATGATGCTGCTGATGATGATGACAGGGACGATGGTAATGGCGTTGACGATGCTGATGCTGATGCTGACGATGCTGATGATGCTGCTTATGATGTGATGTGATGGTGATGGTGCTGCTGATGACGACGCTGATGCTGATGATGCTGCTGCTGATGATGCTGCTGATTATGATGATGCTGCTGATGGGGCTGCTGCTGATGATGCTGATTCTGATGACGATGGGGAGGCTGACGAGGAGGAGGATTATGCGGAGGCATGCTATCGATCATTATGATGGTGTTGCTGATGATGACGCTGCTGATGGTGACGATGATGCTGACGACGCTGATGATAATGGTGGTGCTGATGCTGCCGATGATGAAGCTGGTGATGCTAATGCTGTTGCTGATGAGGATGATTATGATGATGATGCTGACGATGATGCTGATGCTGATGCTGATGATGATGATGATGCTGACGACGATGATGCTGACGATGATGATGATGATGATGATGATGTTGCTGATGATGATGCTGATGATGGTGGCGGAGGTGATGCTGATGCTGCGGATGGTAATGATGCTGGTGGTGCTAATGATGCTGCAGACGAGGATAATGATGATGATGAGGATGCTGGTGATGATGATGATGATGATGATGATGATGATGATGATGATGATGATGATGATGATGACGATGCTGCTGACGATGCTGATGATGCTGGTGGTGATGATGCTGACGATGGCGATGCTGCTGACGACGATGATGCTGCTGATGCTGCTGATGCTGACGATGCTGATGCTGCTGATGATGTTGATGCTGATGATGATGATGATGATGAGGATGATGATGATGCCGATGATTCTGGTGGTGGTGGTGCTGCTGATGCGGATGATGATGTCGATGCTGATGATGGTGAGGTTGTTGCTGATGATGATGCTGCTGATGCTGATGATGCTGATGATGATGGTGCTAATGATGATGCAGACGATGATGCTGATGATGGCGATGCTGGTGACCTTGATGCTGATTATGCTGATGATTATGCTGATGGTGATGATGATGAGGATGCGGATGATGCTGACGATGCTGATGATGATGACGATGACGATCATGGTACTGATGTTGATGACCATGTTGATGCCGATGCTGCTGCTGATGATGACCATGATTATGGTGATGTCGTTGCTGATGATGCTGCTGATGCTGATGTCGATGATGATGCTGCTGATGATGATGCTGATGCTGATGCTGATGCTGATGCTGATGATGATTGCGATGATGCTGCTGCTGATGATGATGCGGATGCTGAGGATGATGATGATGATGCTGATGATAACGATGATGCTGATGCTGATGCTGATGCTGATGATGTTGATACTGCTGACGATGCTGATGCTGCTGCTGCTGCTGCTCATGATGATGATGATGATGATGATGATGATGATGATGATGATGATGATGATGATGATGATGATGATGCTGCTGCTGATGATGATGATGATGATGATGATGATGATGATGATGATGATCAGGATGAGGATGAGAAGGGCGAGCAGGAGCAGGAGGAGGATGAGGAGGAGACTATAGCCGACAGGAACCAGGAACCAGGAGGAGAAGGAGAGGAGGAAGATGAGGAAGAGGAGGAGGAGGAGGAGCAGGAGGAGGAACAGGAGGAGGAGGAGGTCCGTAGCCATTTTGGCTCAAGCCGTTTTGGCTCAAGCCCAGGGGTCATACCCGATACTGAAGTGACTGCAGGTCAGACCTCACAGCGTGTTTTTGTGAACCGCTTCCAAGGGCGCCTCACGTCTTGCTTCTCAGGCACCGTGGCGGCGGCGAACCAGGGAGAACATATCCTGGTCCAGGACACTCCTCCGCCTCGGGCGGGCAGCTAATTTGATCGCGGCGTATCATTCATCAGGCCCAACTGCATCAATGGTCCAGGTATGCACGACAGCAGTCCCGTGAACGTCGTCAGCCGCGTCAAGATGCTGCAGACTGGCCCCCCCTCTCAGAGACCCTCAGCGCCGTGGAAGACTTAGTGGGATGGAGGAGCTGGCAGTGGGCAGATCAATGACAGCAGCCCCAGCCGCCCCAGCCGCCACAGCCCAAGTGGCGATGCGGGCTATGCGGGTGTGGCAAGAACACGAACGACACGCAGATGTACAAGCACTGCCACCAGACCCGAGTGGAGGCTGCGACGAACATCCAGGACCTGGCATTGGCGATGGGTCCTGCTGGTGGTGGCCGCCTCCCTCCTCAGCCTCGGGCCCGCACTCCCCGAGTCAAGGGATGCGGCAAGGCGGCAGCAGGGTCGGCCAGTACTAAGCAGGTCAGTTTCGAGTGCGAGACAGGCTGCAAGTTCACCGAGGGTGAGTTGCTGCAGCTCATCGCAACCTTTTGGAGAATGCGGGCGATTCGGATGGCGTCGCCAAGTACCGCGAGCAGTTGCGAGCCAAGCAGAACGTCCAGCAGGAAGTGCTGTTGCAGGAGCGAGCGTCGGCAGTTCACAGTCGAGTGCTATACCTCCAGAGCACGTTGGCGACAGAGTTGGACAAATTGGGCCGCCTGCATCAGCAGGCAGAGCAACAGAAACCAGTGGTGGAGAAGGTGCAGCTTGCTCTCAGTGCAGCAGATTACGAGTACCGCGAGGTGGTCGCTGACTTGGCCAAGCAGGGCGGAGTGCCCTTGGCCAAAGGAGGCCCAGAGAAGGTGCCCATCGCGAAAGTCATGGGCGGATCGGCGACAGCGTCGGACCTTTTCGACACCCACCGTTTCTTCGGCGTGGAGGAATGCGAGCCCTCGTCAGAGGATGCTGCTGCGCTGGCTAAAAGGAAGGACGCCTTCAACCAGCTGGTGCAGGGTATCACCAAGGCTTTGTTCCAGAAAGCCATGGGGGACATCGCGAGAATCAGGGTGGAGCATCAGGAGCACCTGGGGCGGCTTCAAAGAAAGCGAGCTCGACGAGATGCCTGGCATCGCTCGGACGTGTGCATTTTTTCTCGGCGAGAACCATCGAGGAGCATCCTTGATCACTTGGCGAAAGAATCCACGCACGAAACCGAAAAAAAACAGGGAATGGACGTCCGAGCGATGGCGAGGATGAGCCTGGTGGGCAGTGGGATGTGGCCTGGGCAGGCGCTGCAGGCGCAGGCTGCAGTGGCGCGACCTCGGCGTCAGCCGCCTCAGCTGCCCGGGGGGTGTATCGGAGCCTGGTGGGCAGCGGGACGTGGACGGGGCAAGGCGCTGCAGCCGCAGGCGGCAGTGGCGCGACCTCCGCGCCAGCCCCCCCAGTTGCCCGGGGTTGTGTATCGGAGCTCCGTCGGCCCCAGTGGGGTCCCGCCCGCGGCCGCGGCCCCAGCGGGCCGAGCGTCGGCGCCTGCCGCGCCACCTCCTCCTCCCCCTCCTCCTCCTCCTCCTCCTCCTCCTCCCTCCTCCTCCTCCTCCTCCCCTCCTCCTCCTCCCCCCTCCCCCCTTCCTCCTCCTCCTCCTCCTCCTCCTCCTCCTCCTCCTCCTCCTCCTCAGCCTCCTAGGCGCGCGCGGCCTCTTCTGTGCGCCAGCGGGCTGCGGCTGCTGCGATTTCCAAGGAGGCCTCCCCCTTCCGATCTTTTGGAGATGCCCGGCAGGGGATGTACAAACATCACATCTGTTTCACGAGCCGCGATGGTCTCGGAGCTGCTCGGTGTTGTTGGGCACTGGAGGCCCCGTTGCTCTCTGAGGCTTAACCCGGCCCTAAAGCGTATTCAGACCATGTCTCGGGGTTTTGGGTCTTCGGCACGTGGCTCAAGGGTGCCCAGGATGCCACTGGTCTCAGCGCTCCTTCTAGATCTCCGTGAGGTTCCTGGGAGCCACGTCTTGGGTGAGAGGCCCCCTCATGGCCGCCGGGGGCCTCGCGTTGAGCCGCTGTCTCCTAGAACTGCAGCTAGAGAATTCGACCCTGTCCCCGCAGCGGTTTTCCTATCGGCTGGCAAGGCCCCACCAGGAGGAACCAAAAGGGCAAGGTCAAGTTCGAGCTAGAAACATGTAGCGCGACCGTGGTCATGTTGCAAGAGATCACTCTCGAGCCGAAGGATCGCGCTGAGGGTGGCGCTAAACTTAGGAAGACAGGTTGGCATGTTTGTCTGCACCCCTTCTTTGTCACCGAAGGAGGGGGTCGCAGTTCAAGGGTCGGGGTCGCTGCCCTCTTGCGCAATGTCATGGGCAAGCTTCCCCCCCAAGGCCCTCCCAAGCCCTCCCAGAGTGGTCCTCACCTGGTCAATGCCTACATTCCTGGAGGCTTCGTTGCTGGGAGCCTTTGTCTTCCGCAAAGTTCCCCGCTGGGACCCGAGGGTTCCCAGATCCTCGCGCGCGTCGGCGAGGTTCTGCGCTCCTCCGGCTTGCCATCCATTTTGGCGGGTGATTGGCAGGTGGAGCCCGCCGGGTGGCGCGAGTTCGGTTGGCCGCAGGAGGTCGGCGGGCTCATCGTGGCACCGGCGTCTCCGACTTGCCGCTCGACGGCTATGCGTTGGGGGGGCTGTCGATTGTTTTGCCATATCACAAGGTCCAGGACAACGCGTCGAGGACTGCCAGAGGAACGCTGCAGCAACTACGTCTCCTCACTGGCCTGCAGCCCTGGTATTGCGGGGAGACCCTCTGGAGGCTAAGCGCTGGGTTCTCTCCAAGCTCAAGGCCTTGCCGCAAGAGCTCCCGCTGGGTCCCCAACCTGAACCGCCCGACTACCAAGTCCTCGTGGAACAAGCCCAAGCCAGAGGAGCTCCAGAAGACCTTGACCGAGTATTCTTAGGATTTCTGAGGAAGTTTGAAGGTGAACTGCTTGACGTTTACCATGTGCGAGGCGAAGCGAGCTATGGGGGGCGATGCGAGCAGCGGAAACTTCGGCAGGTCGGCTCGCTCTGGACTGCAGGGGGGCCGTTCCCGGTCAGATGCCCTGAGAGTCGCGGTTGGAGGAAGGTGGCGATATGGCTTCAAGAGTCGCACTATATCAAGCAGCGCACTGAAATTTGGGGAGGAGAAGAAACCACTAGGCTTGTTGATAGAGTTGTAGCTGGCCCAGGAGTCCTGCGCAAGTCCGCTGCTGCGCTACGCGCTCGGCACATTGAGGCAGGGCGCTGGGCTTCGAAGCTTGAGAGTCGTTTCAGTTTCCAGAGGGGGGCGCAGTGGAGAAGCTGGGTCGCAGAGTCTGTCAAAGCTGGGCCTGGTCAGGCCCGCAGATATACCAAGGCCCCAATGGCCTGGGTGCCTGGCAGTTCTATCGAACAAATGGAGAGCCGCCTCCTGGACCTGGGCAGGTGATGAACGAGCAAGCGAATCTCTGGAAGGGAATCTGGGAACCCGCCTCTGAGGCGTCTCGATGTCCCGACCCCTCCGGAGAAATCGACCACCGCATCGGCCGACAGTCTCGCGATGGCCCGGAGGTTTTTCCAGTTGTTTGGGCGCCTGCAGAGACCCGCAGAACGTCGTCGAAGTTTAGGCGCCGCACTGGCCTGAGTGCAGAAATGGTCCACCCGGGGGGCGTGGGCCTGGTCTGCGAATCGGCTTTAGCGACCTTGGCACTCCCGCGGCGCTGGGCCGGGCGCGTTGGCCACGTTCCTCCCGCAATCTCTGTGAACCTCGTTGTTTTTATCCCGGGGCCCGATTCAGGCTTTCGCCCGATCGGCTTGCCAAGAGGTTTCAGCCGACTGTTCGGGGAGATCACGAGAGATGAAGCTGGGAGATGGGAAGGGCGCAACCACAGGGGGCATCATGACGGCAGCAAGGGAAGGTCGTTGTGAGCGGGCTGCGCGGGGGCAGGCCATTGCTGGGGACTGCGCGGCAGAGCAGGGGATCCCTTCGACGGCAGCGCTAGTAGACCAAACCAAAACATGCGAGGAGGTCGTCGACTATTTGCTCTTGATGGCAGCAGTAAGGCACTGGTTCCCACTTGTCAAATTGCGGCTGATGTTGAGGCAGTACAGGTGTCCGCGATTGCTCCAGTGTGCGTCCGTGGCCTCGACGGTGATGAGGGTGGAGCAAGGGGTCATCGCGGGGTGCTCATGGGCCACGTCATTGATGACATTCATTCTGCTTGTGCCATGCGACTCGGCCAGGACCCACTGGCCTAGCGTGTCTATTTTCAATGCTGTTGACGACCTCGCATCCGCAGTTGCTGACAAGCTAGGTGCCCTAGTTGGATCGGCTACCAGGTGCATGTGCACGCAAGTGGGACGGCTTCAACATGTAGTGCCTAAAGGACAAGGGAATGATAGTGTCGTCAGACAGAGGGGTGGCAGTCGTCATCCAGAAGATGTTTGACACATGGGATTTTGCTGTCAGCGATTCGGCCAATAATCTTGGACTCCATCTTACTTTGAGAAGGCATGCGAGGGCTTCCCAGGCCCAGAGGGGTCGGCTTCTTCGTCTCTGGCCTCGTCCTATCGTTCCCGAGGCCTTCGGAGTTGATTTCGGGGCGCAGCTGAGGTTGTTCGCGTTGGGGCCGTTCCTGCAGCCCTGTGCAGAACGCCCGTCATGGGTCTTTCGGACAAGCGCGTCAAGGATCTTAGAGCCCAGATGGGCCATGCGCTGATAAGGGGGCTCCTATGGGGAGATCGCGTACTCTGGAGTTCTTATTGGGGCCCAACCCGAAGGTTGACCCCGAGTGCGTCGCCAATTAGGGGCCTGTGTTTTCCTGGATTCTTAGCTCTGCAGCAGTCTTGGTTTCCCGAGAGGATCGCCGAGAGTTTTGTGGGCGGGTCCCTTTCCCCTGTCTCGTTCCCCGTTCTCCTCGGCGGTTGGCGGCGTGGCGGTCGGCGTGCCGGCCGACGATGACCCCGACGATGGCGACCTCTGTCTCTTGGTGGTGGTGGTGGTGGTGGTGGTGGCTGTAGTCACGGTTGCTAGCAACCTATTGTCTGGCGTTTTGTTTCGCAGCTTGCCCTTGTGGCCGGGGGGCGTAGGTAACCAAATCTCGCGTCCGCTGCTTTTCACAATGGGAGGGGAGGGCAGCGGAAGAGGAGGAGGAGGTGTTGATAAGCAGGAGGGGGAGGAGGAGGAGGAGGAGGAGGAGGAGGAGGAAGAGGAGGAGGAGGAGGGGAGGAGGAGAAGGGGAAGGAAGAGGAGGAGGAGGAGGAGGAGGAGGAGGAGGAGGAGGAGGAGGAGGAGATGGAGGAGGAGGAGGAGGAGGAGGAAGAGGAGGATGAGAAGGATGAGGAGGAAGAGAAGGAGGAGAAAGAGAAGGAGGGAGAGGAGGCGGAGAAGGAGGAGGAGAAGGAGGAGGAGGAGCAGGAGGCGGAGGAAAAGCAGGAGGAGGAGCAGGAGGAGCAGGAGGAAAAAGGAGGAGGAGGAGGAGGACGGAAAGGAGGGTGAGCATGTGGAGGAGGTGGAGGGGCCCAGGAAAAATGGGAACGAAAAGGAGGAAGATGGGGGTCAGGACTTGTGCGAAGAGCGAACGCGGAGGAGGAGGAGGAGCAGTATGACCAGTGTAAATCCAAGACGCATCAACGAGGTTGCAATCAACTCTCCCTCGAAGTTCCCTCTTCTTGAACCTCTGCAAGACAGTATTATCATTGTGGGAAGTTGTCCTCGCAATAGTATCAAGAAGAAGGAGTTTCACTCCCGCAGATTCCTAAAAAGGAAGATGCCTCGCCAGGGCCATAACCAAGCACATTACCACAACAGTTTCAAATTGTAAGCTTGGTTGAATTAAGGCACCACGTATTTTTTATGCTTCGCGTATCCCACCAGTCCATTCAGAAGCGTTGCCCGTGAGAGCTGACGGAAAAAAGGGTACGAAGAGGCACATGCCGTGCAGCGGCGCGGGCAACCAGGATGAACAGAGAGATCAAGTGGAAGCACGGGGGCTGCCTTGGAGGGCCTCTTCGGGCCATCCCTGGGGCCCGCCCGGGGTCGAGGCCAGGAGGAGGAGGAGGAGGAGGAGGAGGAGGAGGCAAACCGCCTCTTGGGGCCCTCGTGGGGCGCTCTTGGACACTCTTGGGGCCGTGCTGGGGCTGTATGAGGGCCCTCTTGAAGCGTTCTTGGGGCTCTCTTGGGGCCCTCCCGGGAACCCTGGAGAGCCTCTTGACGCCATCGATTTGCCTTCCCCCCTCTTGGGCCATCAACATCGCCTCTTGGGGCGCTCTTGGGCGCTCTTGGGGCCGTCTGGGGGACCTCTTGGGCCCCTCTTGGGCCTCTGTTGGGCCATCTTAGGGCCGTTTTGAGGCCTTGAAAGCGCATCGGAAGCGAAACGGCGAGAAGGCACAAATCATTGATGATCCTGCGACCTTTGAAGGATTTGGGCCTCTTGGTGGGGTCCGGAGGGGGCTCCGAGAGCATTTGGGACCGTCTTGTGGCCCTCGTCGGGCCTCTTTCTTGGAGGCATGTCGGAAGCTATCTTGAACCATCGTCGGCCATCTTGAGCCATTTAGAAGGACTTTACGGAGCATAGGAGGCCCTCTTGGAGCTATCTTGGGCGACAAGAAGGCCCCCTAAAACTCCTCGACCCCCTCCCAAGAAACCCTATCGAGGGTAGGGGGAGGACACCCCTTCCCTAATGGAAGAGGGTTTTTGGAAGACCTTAGCCCAAAGGGCTGGTGGCATTCCTGACATGGTCTCAGAATCCTAGATTGTGCAAACACATTATCCCTGGGACTTCACCGCCGCGAATCAACGTGATTGTTGCGTCTTTCGAATCCAGAGTCGTACCATAACACCGTTCCTGGGACCTGAACGTCGCGAATCCACGTGACTGTCGCGTTCTGACAATCCTACATCGTGTCAGAACACCAACACCATCCCTGGAACTTCAACCCTACAAATACTTTAACGTGCTGCAGATTTTCAAGACGAATGTGCGCGGCGCTAACGCGAAAATCACACTTTGAACAGGAACTGGCCTCCGTCTTTGAAACCGTTGAACACGACGCTAAGGTGATAGCTCCATTTTGAGAACGACTCGCCCTCCGCCCTTGATTTTTTTTTGCAAATTTTCAAGACGAGTGTGCGAGGGTCGAGGGTCTAGGGTGAGAGCCGTCGGGGTGGAGGGGGAGGAGGAGGAGGAGGAGGAGGAGGAGGAGGAGGGAGGAGAAGGAGGAGAAGGGAGGAGAATAATGAGGAGGAGGAGGAGCAGGAGAGGAATGAGGAGGAGCGAAGGAAAAGGGAGGGAGAGAGGCACAAGCAGACGAACCCCGACGTCGTGGAGCTGAGCGACCGCAGCATCGTGGCCTGGGCGCAGCGCAGCGGCGCCAAGAAGAAGGCCCACCCGAAGGGGGATCAGAACGCCTCGACGGACCGCCCCGACATGGCCTTCGATGCGCCCGAGTTCGAGGACGGCCAAGTGAAGCAGAACCTGACAATGGCCGCCTCCGTGCAGAAGCGCAGCCTCGTCGTGATGGAGGTCCGGGAGAATCTTCTGGAGGAGTTTCGCAGGAGTGCGCTCGCCAAGTTCCGGGCCCCACACTTCAAGAGGGTCGCGCTCGTGCTGGTCGGAGAGCCCCCCGATGAATTCAAGAAGTGGCGTCTGGCCTCGCTGCTGAAGGAGAAGCAGGAGAGGGTGGGGGCCGAGTACAAGGCCAAGGTCAAGGAGCATGCTCGGAAGAAGGTTATCGCGAGAGCCAGGAGGAAGGCAGAAGTCATCAAGAAGAAGATGGAGAAGGAGGAAAGGAAAAAGCAGAAGGAGGAGGAGCGCAGGAAAGCTGCGGAGGACGGCATGGCCGTAGAAGAGCCAGCCGAGGAGGAGGAGGCCGAGGAGGAGGAGGAGCCCGCCGACGACGTGGACGCCGAGGACGGGGAGCCCGTGGGGCCGCCGCCGCAGGTGCAGCTGACGGAGCAGGAGATGCAGTGGCCGCACGCGAAGATCGGCAGGTACCCGGACATCGTGCCGAGCGTGCTGGCGCAGATGCTGCCCAGGGTCAGCCTCCCCACGGCGGACGAGGGCTTCGACGAGATCCGGTACGGGTGGCTGAAGAAGCCCGAGTCCGAGGAGTACCTCAGGACGTGGCAGCTGGAGCGCAAGCAGAACATGCGCATGGAGGACATCAAGCCGTCCCACTGGTTCAACCAAAAGCTGCAGCAGTGGAAGAAGGACCTGGCCGGGTGGCACGCGAAGCGCCTGGACTGGGACGACCCCACCAAGCGGTCTGCCATGATCGCCGCATCTAAGGAGTCCTCCGGCGGGGGCCAGCAGAAAGACGCGGGCAAGAAGTTTGCGCAGGACGATCCAGACCCACTGAAGACTCTGGAGGAGGGCGATGATCTCGAGGAGGACGACATTTTCGGGGTCGAGGACGTCTGCGACGCGGGCAAGGGCAAGCCAATGTTCGCCGACTTTGAGTTCGCTGACTGGGCGCTGCTGAGCCTCCGCTTCGAGCTCCACCTGCTCATCCACGCCTTCGTCCGCGAGTGTGGCGACCCAGATCGCACTGGCGTGCACCCCGACCACCTGTCCTTCTACTACGGGAGGTTCTTCAAGAAGGGGCTGAATCCCAAGATCTACGGGTGCGAGTCGGTGCAGGACATGGTCGGCCTGGTTCGCGACACGGTCATCCTCTGTAGGAAGGTCAGGTTCAGAAATACGATCTCGGTGCATGCCCGATGCTAATCATTTTTTGACGGAGACGCGTTTCGGACTCCAGGATTCAGTCTGGGTCAGACAATGGCCGCGGTGTTCATGCGCCCGTGCAGTGCAGCGCGTGGGCAGGACAGCCATAGGTCAAGATTTCGAAGGTGAAGGGAACCCGAAGGTGACGCAACCCTGCGTTCCTTCACCTATCTCCCCTTTCGCGGGGGTGTCTCAGCGAAACCACGGTCTTGCCCACCCGGTCCCAGCGAGGTCGTCCGCAGTGGTCATTCGTTCGTTCGTTCGTTTCCCCTCCAGCGCGAGCAGGCGAGAGTCGCTTGGCGTAAGAGCGTTGTCCTCTGCTGTCCGCATCGCCCTCCGCGTGCGAGAAAAAGTCCCGAGGGCTAACAGAGTGCGGGTATGAAGCATCCTTGGCAATGTCTGCTTCACCCTCGTGTATCGAGTGGCACTTAGTTAGTTCTTTTGTCACCTTTTTTTATCGGGATCGTTGCTTGTCATCTTCGGGTTTTCCCCTCCATCTCCTCCTCCTCCTCCCATTTTTTTCTCGCGTCCACGTTTCCTTCCTCCCTCTCCCCCTCGTCCCCCTCTCTTCTCTGGGGAGGGGAGGGGATCCTGGCCCGCGCCGTCATGTCACGACGTCGGATCTACGAGGCTGCCGGCTCAATCTCCGTACAGCTGGGGCGTTGGAACGAATCGACCAGGCACGACGGGGTCTCCTTTCTCAGGAGGAAAAGAAACACACAGACACAATTAATCCTCGATTCCCCAGAAAATATGGGAAAAACATGGGAAGTGTGGGGGAAGACAGAAACCCAGAAAGTATGGGAAAATATGGGGCATCTTTTTATTTGTGTGTTTTTATTTGTGTGTCCTGGGGTCTCCTCTCTTCGAAGACCATGGAACAGCTTGACCCAGCACTACGGGGTTTGATGTCTTCCAAAGCCATTCAAAACAGTTCTGAGTAATGTACAGACATATTCGATACAAGGCATTCCATGGCATTGCTTTGCACTGATTGACATTGCTTGGTATTGCTTGGCATTGTTTTGCGGTGTTTCGCACTGATTGGAAACATTGCTTGGCATTGCTTGTCATTGCTTGGCACTGTTTGACGTTGCTTGGCGTTGCTTTGCACTGCTTGGTATTGCTTGGCATTGCCTTGCTTTGCTTGGCGTTGCTTTGCAAACTTCGGCACAGCTTTGCATCGCTTTGGAACTGTTTGCATTGCTTGGCTTTGCGTTGCGCTGCTTTACATTTATTGGCATTACTTTGCATTGATCTGCAATTCTTGGCGTTGCTTGGCGCTGCTTTTGGTTGCTTTTCGTTGCTTTGCGTTGCTTCGCGTTGCTTTGCATTGCTTGGCACTGCTTTGCGTTACTTTGCGTTACTTGGCGGCTATTGGCATTGCTTGGCATTATTTTGTATTGCTTGGCATTGATCGGCGTTGCTTGCCATTGCTTTGTGTTGCTCGGCATGGCTTGTCATTGTGTGGCAGCGCTTGTCACTGGTTTTCGCTGCTACGCATTGCTAACCAATGCTTGGCATCGCTATCGCTTGGAGTTGCTTTGTATTGCCTTGCATTGCTTTGCATTGCTTTGAGTGGCTTTGCATTGCTCTTCTTTGTCTGGCGTTGCTCGTTAGTGCTAAGGCCAGGCCAGCCCCGAGCAGCGCCGGGTGCCGTCCGGGCAACCCGGGGCAACCAGGGGTAGTCACAGGCAACCTGGGGCAATCCTGGGCAACCCCCGTGAGAAGGCCTGCCGGGAAGGGCCCCGCGTCCACCGGCTTCTTCCATAAACACGTAAGGGCTTTTAGGCAACGCCTGATTGGGGAATATCACGTTTGGTCCAGAAGGGCATCCGTTTTCTGCAGGTTATCTTTCAGCTAGACAGGGAAGGAGGAGAATAGTGATAAGGAGGAGGAGGAGGAGGAGGAAGACGACAAAGATACGGAAGAGCCAGAGAAGGAGGACGAGGAGAAGGACGAAGAGGGATGCAACATAGGAGGATTAGGAGGGCCTCCAACGTTCTATTCTCAACCGTCCTTTATTGGGTATTCGTTTTGAGTGGAGCTCTGCTGCCTCCTTCTTCTCTCCTTCTCCCTTCCCCCTCCTGCCTCCTGCCTACTGTCTCGCCTCCCTGGGAGCTGCCAGCTGCGCTTTTGTGAGCTCCTGGCCAGCGGAGTGACGTCTCACGCAGACCCAGCCGAGACCTCGCCTCCTTGTGCGCTGCCATTTGCGCAAGGATCGCCGCTTGCTTAACGGAGGCCAAGCGAGACCTCGCATCCCAGATGCGCAGCACCGTCGCAGCTTTCGTGAGCTCCCTCGGGGTTCAGTGGAACGTTAAGATCCGCTTACTCCCGTCCATGGATATGGCCATCTGCGCAACTGAAGTTGTTTCGTAAGCGTGTGGTAGGGCCAGCAAAATGTGGGTACTTTGAGGGGCCCAAGCGGGACCCCGCCATCCCTACCAGTTGCCAACCGCACAGCTTCCTGTCTCATCTTGGTCATCGTCGTCCTTCCGTTTTCCCCCCCCCTCCGTGTTACATCCTTGAGTGCTGCCTCAGATCAGCCCCGTCGGGCGTGCAACGCGCATGCCCCCCCCCTGTGGCTTTCACAAGAAATCGCACTCCCTGTCGTATCAGCAAGAGGTTGGGATGAGCCCATTGGTCATTGATCCGGACAGTTGACGGGAACGGGTTGGGTACAGTGCCGTTTTTTATACATGCTCCGCGTGCGGATCATGTATTGAAGGTGCAGGGATTCAGTATTGAAAACAACGATGAGTCCATGCATACATTCATGAATACATTACTCATGTATTCAACATCCAATGTATTAAAAACTGCCCTGTACGTCATCGGGCCATGTTTCCGCTGCGTCGGGCCTGGAGAGTCCGTCGTGGACGGCTGGCGCTCCCTTTGGCCTTCGGCGAGGCCCGGCGAGCGGGAGCCGCGTCACCGATGCATCGCCGATGCGGTGCGATCCAGAGCGTTCTGTCCTCCGTCCCAACGTCGCTCAGGAGGGGAAAAAGCACACAGACACAATTCATTGTCGATCCCCCAGAAAATATGGGGAAAAATGGGAAGTGGGGGGGAAGACGAAATCCCAGAAAATATTGGAAAATATTGGGAATCCGGTTATTTGTGTCTACTTATTTGTGTGTCCCAGGGCCCCTTCAATGATGTCCTCCATCCCAACGTCGCTGGTTCATCGCCGGCGATGCTGTGCGATTCTCCGACCCTATCTGCTCCAGCCCCCTCTGGGCGGCCTCTACTGGCGCCAAATCCGCCGACCCCTTGGAAAAGGTCAAGCAACAGACGCTTTGGCGCCTCAGGGGGCCGCCTTGGACCTGTTTGGCTGTCTTGGGCCTCCTGATATGCTCTCTTGGGCCGTCGCGGTGTACTCCTGGAGACCTCCTGGGCCGTTCTAGTAAGCGCTTGGGCCACTTCTGGGCTTTCTCGGAGCCCTCGCAAGAAGTCCAGAGGCCATCTTGAGCAAATCGCAATGGCAACCTCGAAGGACCTGTTGCAAGTTTGGCCCTTTCTTGGGGAATATTGGAGGCTCTCTTGGGGCCTGTCGTGTTCTTCTCGGGATCTTCTTGGGGATTTCTGTGACACCGCCCAGGGCGTGTTGAGAACGCTTGCCCAGTCTTGGAAGGAGCCAGGCCCAGCACCACTGGCACCGCCTGAGCCCCCCTCCCGGCCCCCCCCCCCTCCTCCTCTCCTCCTCCTCGTCCTCCTCCTCCTCCTCCTCCTCCTCCTCCTCCTCCTCCTCAGCCATTCCTCTCGGGGAGGGGGGCCGCGCCGCCCGGGACCCTGCCCCGAGGTCCGCCGGCCAACTTGGGAGTGGCCCTGCCGGCGGGGGCCAGATGCAATGTACAGGGGGGGCGTCTCGCAATGCCGTTTGCGGTGCGAGGCAGCGAATGCGATGGGCTGGAGGTGTTGCTTGTACCGTGCTCCCTCAAGAAGAAGTCCCACGTGTCCGTGACGGGCGACGCGCAGGCCAGCATGCGGACGGTCGACGACGCACGGGGGGGCCCACAGTGGGACATAGGAGTCTAAACTGCTGTGGGGTGGCGGTGGTGAAGATGACCGAGTCGGCAGTTCACCTAGATGTACACGTTCACGGAAGCCGCCCAGTACATCGGGCCCGTGTTTCTGTGCTAATGCCCGTTTTTCAGGAGATGGGGGGAGCCGGGTAGTGCACTGACCCACCCGCCTGAGGGCTCATGCATGGTTTTGTTATTGGTACCTGCACTTTACCTTTCTCTTTCAATGCATTGGATTGGGCTGTGTTCGTATACTTTTCAGCGTACGTTTGGTCACGCAGCGCCAGCATAGCCTGAAAAGGAGCGCACTCGCCTTCGGCTAGTTGGCTTGGGCGCAAAATTATCGACGCTGGTGGGCAATCACTCATTGTTCATTGGTGGCTCTGCAGTGCACAGTGTTTTGTGGAGTACGTGACGTACATGCTGCACACCATCCTCTGAGGCTCGAAGCACGCTCGGCCCTCAGGAGGTTATAGGAGAATCAAGGAGAATCCTCCTCCTCCTCCTCCTCCTCCTCCTCCTCCTCCTCCTCCTCCTCCTCCCCCTCCTCCTCCTCCTCCTCCTCCTCCTCCTCCTCCTCCCATCCCGCCCTCCGCTCTCGCCGCTCGAGCCACCCCCCGCAGGCGCCCCCCTCCTTCATCACCCTCCCCCCCCCCCCCGGAATCTCCAGGCGCGTTCCACTACGTGCAAAGTGCCTACTCGCACGCGCCCGAAAAACAGATGTTTGCCTCGACGTGGTGTGTCGTAAGTCCCCCGCAGCGGATCCAGGCCACTTGCGAGCAGTTACTTTGCAAACAGTGGAACGCGCTTGTCTAGGGAAGGGGTTGAGGACGGGCGGCGCACTCGCACGCTTGCCACCCCCCAGGGGTCGGCGAACTTTCCGCCGCCTTCCGACTCACCGAGAGCGTTCCACTGCTCGCAAAGCGCCTACTCGCCAACGTCCGAAAAACACATGTTCGCCTCGATGTAATAGATCTTAGATCCCCCGCGTCGGATCCAGGCCATATGCGAATAGTTACTGTGCGAGTAGGGGAACGTGCTCGTCTACCACATCGACTTTTTGGAAGCCCTGCGATGGCTCCAGATGGTGCTCGAGTCCCGCGTTTTACGGGTTCATTCGAGTCGCTCCGTTTTCCGCTCCAGCCCCCTCCCCGCTGAGCTGTGTGATTGACGCGCGGATCAGCATTCTGACTGTGGTGCCTCTCTTTTCGCCTCCCCCCATCTCCCCAAATTGCGCTGGAAGAGAAGCAAGAAGGTGCTCGAGTCCCAGCTGCACGACGATCTGGAGTCCAACGGCATCTTCGTCAAGCTCACCGAGGCTTGCCGGCAGGAGCGGCAGCGCCGCATCGACACAGGTGACGGCCTATGAACAGCACATTACATAAACATAGATGTTAGCCAGCGTGGACCCCAACCAGTGTGTTTCTGGCAATATATGTTGTACAATCGATGTGCAGCCGCCAGAGCGGCAGACAGGCCCAGTTCCTTAAAGCAAAAGTCAGAACCTCAAAGTGCAAGCTCTGTTTGGTGAACTTCTGGAGATGGACGCTGATTTCATGGATCGGCGCTGGATCCCCCTCCCTGGCTCGTGGAGCGCGCCAGGGGCAACGCCAGAGGCGCCGCCAAGGCGTTCCAGCGCCGATCCAAGAAATCTGCGCTGACCTCCGACAGTTTAATTTCATGTTTTGTTGGTTGGTTCCTCGAGTGCAGATCGCTCCCGTCCCATGCAGGGCTGGACCTAAACGCTGTTTTGCTGGACTTTGGCAGGCAATGTTTTGTTTTTCGTTTTGGCAGGGAGGTACAGGAAAACAGGTATAGCAAAACGAGCAACACAACGAACCCATCACGGACAACAGCGTTTAGGTCCAGCCCTGGCACAGCACATCCATAATTATTCTTCCTTCTTCCTCCCCCGCCACTTGCACTTGTCCCCCGCCTCCGCTCCGTGTCATCCAGCTCTCCGTCCCCTATCCAGGTCCCCTTATACCCTCCCCAGCCCCTCCCGTACCTTTTGTTTTCCCTGCCCTTCCGTCCCGTCACGGTTTTTTGTTGTGTTTTGTTCAGCGTTTTTTGTATGTTTTCGCTTCCCATCTGTTGTTTCTTTTTTCTCTCTTTATCTCTCACTCTCTCTCTCTCTCTGTGTTTTCTATTTCCCTACCTAGGCGCTGCCTAGAAGGGTTCTTACTCTCTTAGCTTAAAGGGGCCGGGCAGTGCAAAGCGCCCCGGGCGGTTCCCCCAGTCCCCTGGGAGCGGTTCCCCCCAGTCCCCTGGGAGCTTTAGCTTTAGCTTTAGCTTTAGCTTAGCTTTAGCTTAGCTTTAGCTTAGCTGTAGCTTAGCTTTAGCTTAGCTTTTCGCTTAGCTTAGCGCTTTAGCTTAGCTTTAGCTTAGCTTTAGCTTAGCTTTAGCTTAGCTTTAGAGCTTAGCTGTAGCTTAGCTAGCTTAGCTTAGCTTTAGCTTAGCTTTAGCTTAGCTTTAGCTTAGCTTTAGCTTAGCTTTAGCTTAGCTATAGCTTAGCTTTAGCTTAGCTGTTGCTCAGCTTTAGCTTAGCTTAGCTTTAGCTTAGCTTTAGCTTAGCTTTAGCTTAGCTTTAGCTTAGCTTTAGCTTAGCTTTAGCTTAGCTTTAGCTTAGCTTTAGCTTAGCTTTAACTTAGCTGTGGCTTAGCTTTAGCTTAGCTTTAGCTTAGCTTTAGCTTAGCTTTAGCTTAGCTTTATCTTAGCGTTACTGTTACTACTAATGCTGCTTTCCTAGGGGTTCCAACTCCTGGGTAGGGTCGCACTGGGATAATTATTTCTCTCTCCCCAGCTCCAATTTAATCTCGCTCTCTCTCACTCTCTCTCTCTCTCCCTCACCCTCCCTCCATTTCTCTATCGTCATCGCTCTCTCTCTTATATATATATATGTATGTATGTATGTATGTATGTATGTATGTATGCATGCATGCATGCATGTATGTATGTATGTATGCATGCATGTATGTATGTATGTATGTATGTATGTATGTATGTATGTATGTATGTATGTATGTGTGTGTATGTATGTATGTATGTATGTATGTATGTATGTATGTATGTATGTATGTATGTATGTAATTATGTATGTATGTATGTATGTATGCATGCATGTATGTATGTATGTATGTATGTATGTATGTATGTATGTATGTATGTATATATGTATATATACTGTACCCCAATATCTCTCTATTTCTTTTCTCCCTCGTTCTGTCTTTCTCGCTCTCTCGGTCTCTCTCTGTCTGCCCGTGTCTCCCTGTCCGCCCGTCCCCTCCCCTCTTTCACCCCTCTCGGCGGCCCAGGCGACCAGACGGCGCAGCTGAAGGTGCAGGTGCCCACGGGCTTCGGGGGCGGCGGCGTGGCGCCGCACCCGAAGCTCGGGGTCGTGCGGCCGCCGATGCCGGGGCAGGCCCGGGGGGCGCGGTTGGCGGCCCGCTGCTCGGTTCGGGCGCTGCCAGGAGCTTGGCGTCGCTCGGACGTGTGCATTTTTTCACCACCCACCAAACCACCCCAACCCAACCCGAAGGCTCAGATTTACCCTCGATTTCCAGTGGGGGGGGGGTCGGGAAACATCGAAAAAGCACATATGGAACCCTTACCCCCCCCCCCACCCGAAATTCGGGTCTTCGGGTTGGGTTGGGGTGGTCTGGTAGGTAGTCATTTTTCCTTCGGCGAGGACCTTCGAGGAGCACATCCTTGCTCATGTGGCGAAAAAAAAAAACACGCACGACACCGACAACAAAAAACACAGGGAGTGGACGTCCGAGCGATGCCCAGGAAGTGCCCCTTGCCCAAGGTGCCCCCCGGGACTTGCGAGGAGGCCCCCGCGGCCGCCAGAGCACCTCCCACGAGGCCCCGAGGGCCCCCAGGGGCTCCGGGCTGGAGCGGAGAGCTGGGGGTGCCTGGGGCCACCTGGAGCACCCCCCGATCGGCAGGATCGAGCGGCAGGGGGAGCGAGCAGTGGCGAGGGGGCCTGCCTGGAGGGGGCCCGTGCGGGAATGGGCTGAGACTCCTCCTCCTCCTCCTCCTCCTCCTCCTCCTCCTCCTCCTCCTCCTCCTCCTGCCCCTCCTCCTCCCCCTCCTCCCCCCCCCCACCTCTCCTCCTCCTCCTCCTCCTCCTCCTCCTCCTCCTCCTCCTCCTCCTCCTCCTCCTCCTCCTCCCGCGTGGTGTGCCCGGAGCGTTCTCCTGGCGCTCATATGGCCGAAGCAGTGCTGCTTTCCTCCGTCGATGCTCTGCCAGAAACGCACGGCTTATGCAACCAGACCAGTCGAGTGTTTCTGCATCGGCAGTGGCAGCCTTGCGGGACAGCCAGCAGAGCTGGTGCTTGCTCAAGCAAAGAGTGGGGACGAAGGCCAACAGTGCCTGGCAATTTTCTGAGCAGCGCTCGCCGTCGGTGTCGCCGCGGACGGTGCCCGTTTGAGGTACAGGTGTCGCTTGCCGAGCAGTGGGCGCATTCGGTTTAGGACAAAGTCATTTGCTGCATGGCGTCGTACCCCATTTTTCAGTACCCCTCTCGGGCGTGCTAAAGTGCAAGGCGTTCGTTCATCCCCCAATCACACTGCGTTTCGAAGCAAATCGTGGGCGCCTCGCATGTCCTCGCAACTCCGCCTTTAGAGTGCTTCAGCGTGTGCTGGCGTGCGACAATCCGTGAAAAATGCTGATTTAGAGTCGATGTGCGTCGATTTAGCGTCGGTGAGCGTCGATCAGGGCCGGCCAGCGTCGATTCGCAAAAGCCCGCAAGATGGCATGAGAGCCTCCCCTGAGTTGTCACCGAACGGAGAAGGAGGAGGAGGAGGAGGAGGAGGAGGAGGAGGAGGCGGAGGCGGGAGGCGGAGGCGGGAGGCGGAGGCGGGAGGAGGAGGCGGAGGCGGAGGCGGAAGGAGGAGGATGAGGAGGAGGAGGAGGAGGAGGAGGAGGAGGAGGAGGAGGGAGGAGGAGGAGGAAGCCCAACAAAACAGCATAAGCAGAAGTTTGCGGAGGTCCGGCGCGGATGTCTCAGGTCGGCGCTGGATCCCTCTCCCTGGTGGCGCGGTCTGGCGCCAGCCTTGGCGCGCTTCGCGAGCGGGGGAGAGGAGGATATCCAGCGCCGACCTCGGAAGTTGTGGTGATTGTGCAACTCTTTGCTAGTGAAGTGTTTCTCACGGAAGCGGGTCCAGAGGTTTTTGTGCTGTTTCTGGCCTTCCAGGGCTTTCCCCGGGATGGAAATCGGATCCGGGAAAAGCCCTTGCTCCCAGGACCAGTTCCCCTCAGGACTCCATTCCATCGTAGTAACATGTTCTGCCCTCCTCTTCCTCCCACTTCTTCCACTTGTCGTCGCCGCCGCCGCCGTTGTCGTCGTCGTCGTCCTCTTTCTCCATCCGTGTAGAACTCCTCTTCGCGCCACATGGCGTGTCAGCACGGCGGCCCGGCGTTTCGCCTGCACTCTCGTCACACTGCCCGCGGGGCCGCGCGAGGCGTCCTGGTAGGCACACGCGTTGCTGCCACTGCCTTCTTGCCTTCCCTCGTGGCTGGCGTCGCCGTGCTGTTCCGCAGAGCTGCGCACAGCGATCCCGAAGGCCCCAGCAGCACAGAGGCTTCCTCGGGTTGCCCCCTCTTCTGCCCGACTGATCCTCCTCCTCCTCCTCCTCCTCCTCCACGTCCACGTCCCTCACGTCCTCCTCCCCCTCCTCCTCTTCCTCCCTCTTCCTCCTCCTCGTGCTCAGCATGGTAGGGCTGGGCCCTCCGTTTTTGTTTATTATTCGAGCGGCTAGGGCGAGATTTGGCCCGCCTTGATGCCGTTTGTCCGTTTGTCCCGTCAGCGGGGGAGCTGGTAGTATGGCTCGCGCGCACTTGTTCTAAACGCTCGGGGTTGCCCGTTTTCAAATTGTGACTCCTGCTTCAGCGTCTTGAACATTCATTTCAAAAGTTTTGAACAGTTATTCGGATGGAGGGGGGCGCGTTTTCAGGATCGAGCGCCCGGGCCTCGCGCGCATTTGTTGTTTATTTTTTTATTGTCGGGGGGAACTACGGATATACATTGAGTTATGTCCTTAGCGTGCCGCCGCGCGCATTCGTTTTCAAAGCTTCCGACAGGGTGAAGTGCGTTTCCTGTTCAAAATGCGACCATCGATCAATCTGATTCAGGTCTCACGTCCCGAAGTGTGCGCGTTAGTGCAAAAGGTTCCACGGGCGGAAGGCGGCTCCATGTGTAGATGCGGCTCTCGCATATATTATCTTCTGGTTTTGTGGCCATATGTTAATTACGAGTTAGCATGCGTAATTCTAGACGCTTCGCGGTCCGTGTTCGGGAGTGCGCGTGGCCTCAGGAGCGAGTGTGCGACTTCGGTGGCGCCACTCGTGCTGGCTCCTGGTCAGTGACGTCTTCCTGGCCATCGATGACAGTATTGCTCCTGGTATGTACTGCAAGCGAGCTGCCCCCTTCAGGGGCTGGGTGCGTGGGGATTCGTGTGGTTTATCCTGCGTCTTGTCCCCGCCCTCTGCGGCCACTTGTCAGCGTTGTGTGCGACTTTGGTGGCGCCACTTCCATGCCCAGGTTCCTGGTCAGTGAGTTCCCCCGGCCTTGCCGGTTTCTGCGATCCTTCGTGGTGGTGCTCCTGGCTTCATCCTGGTTTCGTTCCCGCGCCATTTTGGCTGCGCCCCGACTTCGGTTGGCTAATTGCATGTGCGCGCTCCTGGACCTGCTTCCCGGCAGCTGCAGCCCGCACCCTCTTCCGCTTCCGGTGTTCTGAGGGGCCGCCTGGGCCTCTGTTAGCTGGCGCGTTAGGCAATTAGGTTCGCGCGCGCCCCGCCCGTTCCGTTACTCGCCGCCTGCGCTTTCGCTTGCAGTTGCAGGGGGAAAAGTACCCCCACCAGCCCATTCGGAAACGATGCCCAGAGAATTTGCCTCGATCAGGGAAGTGGGCAGCACACAGAGGAAGGGTCTCCCAGTGGAGGCCTCTTGGAGCGTCTTGGGGGCCTCTTGGCGGTTCCGGACGCCTCTTAGAGCGTCTTGGGTGCCTTGCAGAGCTTCTTGGGGCCTCTTGGGGGCATCTTGGGCGCCTGTTAGGGCCTCCTGGGGTCTCCTGGGCGCTTCTTGGGGTCCTCTTGAAGCGCTCTTGAAAGCGCTCTTGGAGCCCTCTTGGGCCATCTTGGAGCCATCTTGAGGCCTCGGCCATCGAAAGCGAAAGGGCGAGAAAACCAAAAACATTGATTTTCCCAAAGTTTTGGAAGGATGTTTGGCCTCTTCGGGGCTTCCTGTGGGAGCTCTTTGGCCACTTGGAGCTGCCTTGGAGCGGTCTTGGGGCCTCTTGGAGCATCGTGGGAGCCTCTTGAGGCATCTTGAGATATCTCGAGCCATCTTGGAGGTCATCTTGGGCTCTCCCAGGCGCTCTTGGGGTCATCTTAATCAGTGTCCCCCCCCCTCAGGAGGCCAACATGTGGCGAAGACCATCGTAAAATCAATGATTTTGACATTCTTGCCGAGGCCTCTTGGAACGTCTTGGGTGCCTCTGGGGCCTCTTGGGGCCTCTCTCTTGGGAGCCTCTTGGGGGAATCCTTGGGGCCTCTTGGGGGCCTTTTGGGGCCTCCTGGCCACCTCTTGGGGCCCTCCTGGTGCACCCTTGGGGGCCTTGGGAGCGCTCTTGGGGCCATCTCGGAGGAGATCGATCAAAGAAGGGGGGTCCCTAATTAGTCCCCGGGGCCAACACCTTAGTAATACAAATGATTTCGGCTTCCTCGCCGAGGCCGTTTTGGACGCTCCAACTACCCGCGACCCCCCCCCGTCCAGGTACAGGGGAGGGGGTAGGGGGCGGGATAAACCCCTGCCCTAAGGGGAAGGGGGAGGGGTGGAAGGGGAAGCTCCCTAAACCACCTGACGCCCTAAAGGGGCTGGTGGGATTCTCACTTGTGGAGGGCGGTGTCTTTTCCACACGGGGATGCTGCTGGACACTTCTCCTTTGAGCTCTCCGATCCTACCCCTGGGCGCTTCCGACGGCTCGAAGGATTGAGGACGGCCCCTTATCAAGACTGGGCTCCCGCCTGCACGGCAGGCCCGAGGGGCTCTCGTCTTCCAAGGGGTGCTCCCCGTCATGGAAAGCAACCCCTGCAGGGACTGATGAGGAGGCGACGTGGGGCGGGAGAGTGAGCTGCAGCCGCGTAGGTTCGCTCTGCCTGGGTTTCGCTTCGCCCAGCTCGCTTCGCTCGGTCCCAGGGTTCGCTCTGCCCTGGGTCCGCCTCGTTTTGCCCCGTTCGTTTCGCTTGGTTCGCTGCGCCGAGTTCGCCTGACCATCGGTCGCTTCGCCAGGGTCTTCTTCGCTTGGCTCGGTTCCCTTCGCCCATTAGGGTATGTCTGTCCGCTCGCCCATCAGGGTCCGACCGCTCGTTGTCGTGATAGACCATTCGCTTTAATGTCCCGCCTGCCCCTCAGGGTCTGTTCGCTCGCCCGCATGCCCGTTAGGGTCGGACTGCCCGCCCGAACCCCGCGAAGCGACCCCCTGGCGAAGCGAACCCCTGGCGAAGCGACCCCGGGCGAGGCGAACCCTGGCGAAGCCAACCTCGACGGAGCGAACCCGAGTTGAGCGAACCGCGGCGAAGCCAACCCAATCGAAGCCAGCCCTGACGGAGCGATCCCCGACGCATCGAACTCCGGCAACGCGAGCCCGGCAAAGCAGCGGACCCGGCGACGCGGTCTTGGGGGGCGCGAGCCCCCAGAGATGCGGCCCTTTTTGAGCGGAGCGAGCCCCCGCGGAGCGAGCCCCGGCGCTGCGAGCCGGGCGAGCGAGACGGCGGGCCCCGCCGGAGCGAGCCGGCGGCTGGCGCAGCGAAGCGGGCGACGCCGAGCTCTCGGCGCAGCGAACCACCCCCAGGCGAAGGGAGCCCTCAGCGAAGCGAGCCCCTCGACGAAGCGGCCCCTCCGGCGAAGCGAGCCCGCGCCTGCTGCAGCATCGTCGATGCATCCGGGATTTTCGCTGCTCCTCCTCCTCCTCCTCCTCCTCCTCCTCCTCCTTCGCCCTCCATTCGCCCCCTGCCTTCACTTTCGCCCCCTGGCCCCCGCCCCCCTTTCCCTCACCCCGCCTCTGGGCAGATGAGGTACTCCCCCTCCTCGCCACCTCCTCGCCACCTCCTCGCTGCCCTGCCCTCCTCCAACCGATGGAGGAGTAGGAGGAGCAGGGGCGCAGGAGAGGGAAACGGGGGACCTCGCCGCACACATCCCCCCGCGCCAGCAGGCTGGATCGACGCTCCCTGTGCGTCCTGGCGGCAACCTCGTTAGTCGCCCGCGTGGCCCTGGGTCGATAAGGGCGCCCGCCATGGTCGGCAAGGGCGGCGGCAAAGGCTGCCGAGGGACAAACACCTTCCCCGCTGCTTCTCCTCGCTGCCTCCCCTCCACATCGTCCTCCTCGTCCTCCCCCTCCTCCCTGCGCGTGCCCTCCTCCCTCCCTCCCTCCTTCCCCGCGCGCGGGGGAGGAGGGAGGGAGGGAGGACGATGTGGCGGACCACAAGCAGAGTGAACACACCTCCGCTTTGCGCTCCAGATATCGATCGAGTCGGGGATCCACTACAGAATCGATTTACCCCAAAATTGATTGTCTCGTCGAATGTACAGAAACAGCGCTGTGCGCTTTAATGGAGTCGGTGGACAAATAATTTGGGGGACATCAATTCTGTAGTTGACTCGCGCCCAGAGGGTTGGTTGGATTAGTGCATGTTGTTTGTACCATCCATAGGGATGTCGGCGCAGACTTGTTCGACCACTGGCGGAACTCAGCGCGAATGGCGCATTCGACCCTTGCGAGCTCCCCGGGCGTGCCGAGCAACGGTGGCCTCCCAAAGGGTTTAGAGCATCCAAACTTCCTTGGGACCCCGGGGGCCTCTGGGCTTCCAGCATGTTTCAGTGAACATTGCCTCCCTCCCCCCTCCCCTCTGGGGGGGGCGCGCAGTGGGTTTGCTTCGTGCCGCAAAACAGTGCGCACATCTAATAAGACATCTGCCTGCTAGCCGGTGCCCCTCACACGCACACACACACACACATTCTTTAGGCTCTGGAGCACCGGAGGACCTTCAAAGATCGATGACGAATATGTCCATATACATGCATTTACACGTATAGGTATGTGTATGTATATATCTATGCATTTACACACATGTATATGCCTATATGATTATGTGTGCATCTATATATCCACACCTGTTGTACGACCCCCAGACGCGGTGAGGGGCAGCAGCTTCGGGAGCATCCACGGCCTCCAGGGGCTTCCAGGACCCCCCCCCTGCCCGATCGAACTGCACCCCCCCCATGGGGGCGGGTGGCGCAGGCTGCTTCGACCCGTGGGAGGCCCCCCAGGGGCGAGTGGCGCAGACCACTTCGAGCCTTGCTTGCGGGACCCCCAGCGGGGGTTGCGCAGACTAGACCGCGACGAGGCTCCCGCTTGTGGCATTCGCGGCGGCGCCCATGAGCTTTGGCAGCCTTCTAGGAGCTTCCAGGGGGTTCCAAGATCTTCAACGTGGTCACCCAGAGGACACCTCGAAGAGTGGCGCGGTGGGACTGCGTGAGCCAGCGGTTCCCGCAGATTCTATCCCGAATTCTCTCCAGGGTCAGAGTGGTTCTGCTGGCCCTCCAGGGGTTCCCTTCGCCGCGTGCGGACGCGGCTCGAACAGCTTGCCGGGATGGTGCCCTGGAGTGGCTCGGGGGGCGTTTCTGAGCGTCGTCTGGCCTGGCGCAGAGATGCGAGTGCGCTTCTCCGAGGCGCACGTGTGGATACGCAGAGCGCCACAAAGGGAGTGTCTCCGCTGTTGGAGGTCGCCCGTCCTTGCCAGGTGGGCGTCGAACTCCCGCGTGGGACACGGCGGAACGCGCAGTCTTGCACACTTTTTCGGACGCCGAGGCTGGGGCGGAGGCTACGGGCCCATGATGAGCAAAGGCATGGCCAAGGGCATGATGATGGGCAACGGGCCGTTCGGCTGGGGCGGCTTCAAGTGAGCGCGGCCGCGTGCCTGTGAATCGGTTGCACTGCAGACTGCAGCTGGCTGTTTTGTCCGATTGGTCAAACATTTCACTGATAAAAGGAGCGCTGCTGCCTTCTCTGTCGTTGGTTGCCGGGAAGGGGAGCAGTTCGGAGTTCGATTGGATGGATTGGATTGAAGGACATGGGGAAGCAGGATCGAGGGACGTCAGGGAGGTGTACGGCGAGGGCCTCCGCACACATCCAGCGGACATCGCGGATGGTTCGAGAGGGCGAGCAAGGCGGCGGCCAGTGAAGGGCACGCGGAGCACGGCTTGGCAGGCATCACATAGGGCATCACAGCACGCACTGCATGCCAAGAGGCACGCTTTCACGATGAGGTGGCGCGTCTTTGGTGTGCCGCTGTCGTCTTCCGAAGGAGGAACACGGCATAATCATGCATTGTCGGAGCTCCGCGCGGATTTCTTGGACCGGCGCTGGACCCCCCCCCCTGGCTTGCGGAGCGCGCCAGGAGCGGCGCCAGAGGCGCTGCCAGGGGGGCCCAGCGCCGATCGAAGAAATCCGTGCGGAGCTCCGAAAGTCTATGTTTATGCAGTTGCTCGTTCCTCTAGTCTTGGTCCCATTCGGTTGTGGCTTCAATGCCTTTGCGCACGCCCCACCTGGGCTCTCCTTCATTACCCGTCGGCCTTGCTCTTGCGAGTGCGGCTCTTTCTGACTAGCCCTGTAAGTGTTTCCTTTCCAGACGTCCGCAGTCTTGATGAACACGAGGTGACGTTAACTCCATCTTAACAAGGGCTTGTCCATGCCGAGCCTACCAAGGCCCCATGGCTCGAAGCAAGCCCCAGGGACCGAACTCTCGGAGCCGTCGCCCATCGGCCCCCCCCAGCGCTCCCTCCTGCTTTCGCGTCGCACGCCCCCCTTCCCTCGGCTTCGGCGGCCATTTTGGGTGGACTGGGTTCGCCAGTTTCTCAAGTCCGGAACCTTGGGGGCCAGTCTTGGACGATCGTGGCGCCCTCAGGGACCGCAGACGCGCCGACGGTGTGTTAGCTAACGGCGAAGTAGGACAACCAGCTGTGGTAAGGCGTGGCTCGTGGCCAAAAACAGGATTCCCAACCGCAGCACCCGCTAAGCAGGAGGGGAAGAAACACACAGACACGATTCATCGTCGACTCCGGGGAAGATATGGGAAACTATGGGAAATGGGGGGAAGACAAAAGCGTAGAAACTATGGGGACATGTGGGGAACCCTGTCATTCGTGTGTATTTCTCTGTGTGTCCCAGGGCCCCTTCGCTGAAGCAAGCACGCCGTCGGCGCGGCCCTGGAGAGGGCCCCTGGCCAGGGGCAGCCGAGGGGAGGGACCCTCGGCGCCCCCAGGCGCTCCCGGGGGCCGCTGGGAACCCCCACGGAGCACGTGCGCACCCGCGGCAGCCGCCGCCTCCCCCCCAGACAGCCAGCACCGTCGTATCGTTCACCACCCACCAAACCACCCCAACCCAACCCGAAGGCTCAGATTTACCCTCGATTTCCAGTGGGGGGGGGGGTCGGGAAGCATAGAAAAAGCACATGTGGAACCCTTACCCCCCCCCCCAACCCGAAATTCGGGTCTTCGGGTTGGGTTGGGCTGGTCTGCTAGGTAGTCACAAAGAGCGCACAAAAAAACTGCTCTTCTGGGAGTCCTGACCCTTTCCCCAGGACCGGCGTTTCAGCCATGCTGGTTGTCTGACGCTCCTGGGGTCTGGCGAGGGCTCCCTGAAGCCGAAACCCTCCAGTAAGGGACTCGTGAGGATTCCCCAGTAGAGATTCCCTACGAGCTTTTACTGAGGATTCCTTATTGAGGCATATTTCTCAGGATTCCCTGGTAAGAACTCCCATGAAGGATTCATTATTAGGGATCCCTGAATAAGGCTTCCCTAGTATGGGTTCCTCAATCCCAACCTTTCAGCAACGATTTCTTATGAAGGATTTTTGCCAGCAGGGATTCCTCACTACGCATTCCCTTCTAAATAGTTGTTAGTTTGGGCTCCTTCGTCAGGATCCTTCTCACGGAACCTTTTTTAGGATACACTACGAAGGATTCTTTCATAATGAATAAGGATCCCCAACGAAGGATTCCCTACCAACGATTTTGAACTACGGATTCCTCACTACGGATTCCTATTTTAAGGATTCTTTATTAAGGACTCCTTTTTTTCAAGCTTCCCTTATCACGAAACTCAATTGAGGGTTCCCTTCGAAAGGATTCCTTACGGAAGGCTTCCTGACCAAGCATCTCCTACTAAGAGTTCGTGATCGAGGAATCTTTAGTAAGGATTCCCTTGTCAGGGTTCGTTACCAAGGATTTCTTGTTATCGGTCCCTTAGTACGGATTCCTTGTGCAGTATTCCTTAGCCAAGGTTTTTTGCTACATATTCCTGCACAAGGATTTCCTATTATGGATTTTAGAAGCAGGCTTCCGTCGTCAGGAAGCATTCTTATATATCCCAGTGGAGGATTTCTGTATGACCATTCCTTACTAATGAACCCCTACTGGGTAATGCTTAAGCAATCTTTGATAAGGACTCCCAGATCCGGATTCCTTACAAAGTATCCCTTAACAAAGTTTCCTTACTCAGGATCCTTTACTAAACATTTCTTTGCAAGGATTTCTGATTACGGACCCTTAGTAAGAACTCGCTATGAACAAAGGTTCCTTGATAATGACTCCCTGGGAAAGAAACCTGACTAAGAGTTCCCCAATCAGAATTCCTGAGCATGGATTCCTTATCACGGATTATTTATTCAGGACTCGTGGTTCAGGAATTTTTAACAAGCATCTCCTAGACACAATTCTTTTCTAAGTATTCCCATCCTAATGGTTAGTTAGTGCAGACTCCCTGATCAGGATTTCTGAATATGGAACTCTAGGTAATAATTCCTTACTGGGGATTCCTTGCTTACGGATCCTTACGAAGGGTTCCTTTCTAAGGATTCCTTCCTAAGGATTCCTTCCTAAGGATTTCCGATCAACTATTCCTCAGTGAGGATTTCTGAGTTAGGAAGCCTTACGAAAACGGATTCCCTAGTAAGGGTTCCGTAGTCAGGTTTCTTCACTAAGGATTCCTTACGAAGGATTCGTTATTGAGGAATCCGTAGCAAGAAATCTCAAGTCAATATTCCTTCCAAACGAATTCCCACTAAGGAGTCCCCAGTAAGGAGTCGCTTTTAAGGAATTCGGATTAAGGGCTCCCTACGAGGGGTGATTATGGACCTCTCAGAATTCCTAGGGATTTCTGGGACTGGAAGGGGTTCGTAGGGATTCGCCGGGTAACATTGGATTCGTATGTAGCGATTCCTATTAGGGAAGGTTCGCTGGTGGTCACAGTCGTCAGCTCGGGAAAGTATTCATGGATACTCCGAAGCGATGCCCTGGATCCCCAGGGAATGCTACAGGCTGGTTGCTGGGATTGCTCGGGTTGCCGGGGTTGCCCCAGAGCTCGCAAGTCCGCGTTGACACCAGGGGACGAGGCGAACCTTCTAGTCCCAGGCCTCGGGGCTCTCCTCCTCCTTCTCCTCCTCCTCCTCCTCCTAGATCCTCCTCCTCCTCCTCCTCCTCCTCCTCCTCGGTCCTCCTCCGCCTCCTCCTCCTCTTCTTCCTCCTCCTCCTCCTCGATCCTCCTCGATCCTTCTCGATCCTCTTCGATCCTCCTCGATCCCTTCATGTTCTTTGGTTCCTCTCTTCCACGACGCGAGCACGCCTGGGCCTGCGGCCGCCGCCCCTCTTGGCCGCCCCGCCCGCCCCCCCCCCCTCTCCAGCCACCAGCTGGCGAGCTGGCCGAAGGGGCCAGCCGAGCGCAGCCCAGCGCCCAGCAGGAGGGGCGGGGGGCGGTCGGGCGTGCCTCCCGAGGCCTGGAGGTCGCCGCCGCCGCCGCCGCCGGCGGCGGCGGCGGCGACGTCGTCGTCGTTGGCGTCGTCGTCGTCGTCGTCGTCGTCGTCGTCGTCGTCGTCGTCGTCGTTGGCGTCGTCGTCGTCGTCGTCGGCGGCGGCGGCGGCGGCGGCCCGCGGGCGGCAGCGCGCGCGCGCGTGCGCCCGGGGGTCTGGCTCGGCGTGCCGGATCTGCGCGGTGGCCGCGCCTGCGCCCGCCCGTCGCGGGCGCCTCGCCCCAGGCTTAAGTCGGGCGTGTCCCCCTAAGTACATGGGGATTTTGGGCGAAAAGTAAAAGATACTCAAAAAATACCTCCCAAGTGCTAAGAGATAGTAAAAAAATCTTCCCCAGACTATCTTTTGACTATTTTGGAGCATCCCCCCTGCAAAGGGGCATGCCCGACTTAACCCCAGGCTCTCCAGGCATCGGGCGGGCTGACTGTTCCCAGCCCTGCACTTTGCAGCTGCCGTGTCTCGTCTGGATCACGACGGAGGTCTGGTTCCTCCTGGGACTTAGATGGGTCGATTGCTTTTGGTGGTGATTGGTTTGATGGCGGGTACCGTCTTGGGTCGATCTTGGGGACTTCTCGTGCCGTCGTGGACCCTGGCGGGGCCGAGCCTACGAGAATGTCGAATCTGGTTCCCGAGCCAACTGCGTGTTGCATGAGTTTGGCCTCATGGTCCGGCCCCGAGAGCCTCCAAGGCGGCCCTAGAGACTCCCCAGGCGGCTCCAGCACCTGCCCCCCCCCTCCACGCCTAATTTCCTGAGAGCGCTTCGGGGGCTTCGGGAAAGGATGTCAGACAAGCCCCCAGAGCAGGCGAGAGCGCCCAGGGCTTCTTTCAGTTGGGGCCCTGGGCCTGGATAGCGAGTGTTGTCTGCATTCAGTTTAGGTGGTTAGATGACCCGAACACAGGACCAGATTGAGGACCTGAATGCGCTCAACTTTGTGCACACGTCACCACGGTGGCGAAGGAGGAGGAGGAGGAGGAGGAGGCTAGGACGCAGGGCCGCCGTTGAACACGTTCCAAAGCAATGCCAGTCAATCCGGAGACACCCCCACGGCAATGCCCAGAGCACTGCCAGAACCCATGCCAGGTGCTGATGGAAGTGTCCCTGGCCCAAGATGTTCCCATCTCCCAGGCCGTTTTGGAGCGTAGGGTATTCTCGGCGGCGTGCTCAGGGAGGAAGTCCAGAGGGG